CAAGGAAAAGCGATAATCCTATGCAAATAGAAACTATGGGAAAAAATGGGAACTCCAGGGAGATTTACTGCAGAAAAACCACATTAGCCTCACACATCCAATAGTCCTGATATGAAACATATCCTAGATGTCTCAATGATAATAACAATAATGATAAAAAAGAAAGAGGTGTCCCTGTGATGGAATCTTCTTGGTTTATTCCAGGTAGAGTAGACCCATTCAATCAATTGCTGGATGGGTCTACTCTACCTGGAACAAACCAAATCATTACACAATTTTCATTGATCTAATGAGTCATCTCCAATTAAGACTAACAGTTGAATCCAAGCCAAAATGTTGTTTGGCCTGATGCACATTGATTTCTGCTGATTCGGAATAACATTGTTTAAGCATATTATTTGCACACGGCTGCACATCTACATCCCTTAAAAAAGAAAGCCAGTGTAGTATAGCAGTATAGTGCAACAGTCACAATGTTGCATGGAGTTTGAGAGATCCCAATCCCAATCCTTATCTAATCTTGAAATTCAGAGAATGACCATGGGTCCATTATTCTCTCAGACTGACCTATTTCAGGGAGTTGTTGTGATGATGTAGTGAGATGAAGGCAAAGTTATATCTGCTACATTGAATTTATTGGAGTAATGGTGGGATGCAACTTGTTGAACGAATTATACAAATAAAAGTATAAGAAAAACAATCTAGTCAAAATGAAACACTTCTATAGCAGTGACAGAGGGCTCGCCTGATTGGATGTTCAAATGCTTTCCCCAATTAAAGTAATTGGATTGAAAAAGGCCAAATTCTGATTAGACCATATCCTGATATATATACAGTAGAGTCTCGCTTATCCAGCCTTCGCTCATCCAGTGTTCTGTATTATCCACCGCAGTCTGTCTCCCACCCAGATCCACAGCTGTTTCAATACATTACGATGTTTTTGTGCTAAATTTTTAAATACAGTAATTATTACATAACATTACAATGTATTGAACCCCCTTTTCTGTTCATTTTTTGTAAAAAAGCATGATGTTTTGATGCTTAATTTGTAAAATCATAATGTAACTTGACGTTTAATAGACTTTTCCTTAATTCCTCCTTATTATCCAACATTTTCACTTATCCAGCGTTCTGCTGGCCCATTTATGTTGGATAAGTGAGACTCTACTGTATTGCCAATAACATGCTAAACATTCATTTTAGGATCAATTTCTTTCTCTTTGTTGTTCATTCGTTCAGTCATTTCCGACTCTTCGTGACCTCCTGGACCAGCCCACGGCAGAGCTCCCTGTCAGCCGTCACCATCCCCAGCTCCTTCAGAGTCAAGCCAGTCACTTCAAGGATACCATCCATCCATCTTGCCCTTGGTCGGCCCCTCTTCCTTTTTGCTTCCATTTTCCTCAGCATAATTGTCTTCTCTAAGCTTTTCTTTCTTCTCATGATATGGCCAAAGTACTTCATCTTGGCCTCTACTATCCTTCTGTCCAATGAGCAGGCAGGCTTTATTTCCTGAAGTATGGACTGGTTTGATCTTCTTGCGGTCTAAGGCACTCTCAGAACTTTCCTCCAACACCACAGTTCACAAGCATCTATCTTCCTTCGCTCAGCCTTCCCTATGGTCCAGCTCTCACATCCGTAGGTGACTATGGGGAATACCATTGCTTTAACTATTCAGATCTTCGTTGCCAGTGTGATGTCTCTACTCTTCACTATTTTATCGAGATTGGTCATTGCTCTCCTCCCAAGAAGTAAGCATCTTCTGATTTCCTGGCTGCAGTCTGCATCTGCAGTAATCTTTGCACCTAGAAATACAAAGTCTGTCATTGCCTCCACGTTTTCTCCCTCTATTTCCCAGTTGTCAATCATTCTTGTTGCCATAATCTTGGTTTTTTTGATGTTTAACTGCAACCCAGCTTTTGTGCTTTCTTCTTTCACCTTGATTAGAAGGCTCCTCAGCTCCTCCTCGCTTTCGGCCATCAAAGTGGTATCATCTGCATATCTAAGGTTGTTAATGTTTCTTCCAGCAATTTTTACCCCAGCCTTGCATTCATCAAGCCCCACACATCGCATGATGTGTTCTGCATACAAGTTGAATAGGTTGGGTGAGAGTATACAACCCTGCCTTTCCCAATCTTGAACCAGTCTGTTGTTCCATGGTCAGTTTTTACTGTTGCTACTTGGTCCTTATACAGATTCCTCAGGAGAGAGACAAGGTGACTTGGTATGCCCATCCCACCAAGAACTTGCCACAATTTATAATGATCCACACACTCAAAGGCTTTAGAATAGTCAATAAAACAGAAATAGATGTTTTTCTGAATCTCCCTGCCTTTCTCCATTATCCAGCTGATATTGGCAATTTGGTCTCTAGTTCTTCTGCCTTTTCTTTCTCTACTGCAATCTAAATTTTTACTGAACCAGCTTTATCTTTAAAATTTATTTTACTTACTCCTGAATTCTCCCTGAGAATGAAGGAATAGCTTGTTTATGGAGGAGTACTCTTAGGACACTGTGCAGAAAATATGTTTAGGGAAAGGTTGAATATTGGCTGAGAAAATCATTTAGCATAATATCAGTTTTGATCCAGAGAAGAGTCACAAAGGCATATTCTATTGAGTCGTATTCATATGTTCAAGGTGCTACTTTCATTCCATGAAAGTCAATATGGAAACTATGATTATCGGTCTCCCTACCACATAATGAAATCATAAAACTACCTTCTTAAAAGTGATTACAGATATTGGAAGAGGTATATTTTTGATTATAGCTCCGAGACACACATACAGTGGCCATGCTGGTTGAGAGACTGAGAATTGTAGCCCAAAAAGTAATTTTATCAAACTCCAGGAGATCTATATCTCAGTGAGTATTTTGTAGTGGTTTCATATCTGGACTTGGGATTTCATATTCTCTACCCTGCTGATTTTTTTCAGTATCTGGTTGGGAGGTAATGGAAATTCAACATGCTTTAAATCACTTCACATTACATTTTAGGTTGTGGAGATCTCTTTAACCTTTTCAAATATCTAATCTAATTTATTAAATCAGATACAATAGTTCTTTTCTGGTTTTGCAATGGAAGAATCAGGGCTACAAACAAGTCAAATATCTCAGGATGTTGTCAAATATAAAATATTGCATAAGCATGCATTCAGGAAACATTTACCAATATATTTGTACAATAAGATTTTTTTATAAATTCTATTTTAGCTATATATAATAACAACAGAGAGTGGGTGTAGTCCTTGTTCTTTTTATGCATTGGCTTTTGGTGGTTTTTAGGAAAACCTCTGACAAATGAAAAATCGATATATTTTAAAACCCATGTTTATTCAAAACATATGTATATTTAGCAGATCATCATTCTATACAGTAATACAGCATTTGTTTGCTTGTAATATAAAATACTGTGACTACAACAAAAAGAATCTTGATCGTTTTATGCTTTGTGTTCTTAATACAAATTCAGAAGAAAAAATGGGAGTAAAATGTCATGTATAGTTATTTTTAATTGTTCCACAAACTCCTTTATTTTGGGTAAAACAGAATTACAGCTCTGCTTAAGAGAAATCTTAAACTTGTCATGTTGAGTTTCAAGCTCTTTTTTGTAATATAAAACATTAAAAACCTTAAGGACAATATTACAATAGGCTCAAATGTATTGGGAGGGTGGGCACAATTCAAAAATACTTGGAAAAAAAAGTTCCAAAAAGCATACTTTGATTTTTCCACACATTGAATACTACAATGATGTGTATAGCCTTATGTAGCCTTCTGCTATTTCACAAACCCTCAGGCTTGCTTGAGTTGTCATTTTGTATGAGGGACATCATTTTACTATGCTGTCATTGAGAACAGGACTTGAACATCCATGAATTTTGGTAATCTACATGGGATCTTAGAACCAAACCCCAGTGGATATGGAGAGCAGAGTGTTTATAATAGAAATCTGGTGTTGCTTCAGTGTCCCCTAGTGTCTTACAGAAGGAGTTGCTATCAGCTCAACTTTCTACTCAATATGTGTCCAAAGGAGGGCGACTCAAATGATCAAGGGTTTGGAAAACAAGCCCTATGAGGAACGACTTAAAGAGCTGAGCATGTTTAGCCTGCAGAAGAGAAGGCTGAGAGGAGACATGATGGCCATGTATAAATATGTGAGGGGAAATCATAGGGAGGAGGGAGCAAGCTTGTTTTCTGCTGCCCTGGAGACTAGGCCAAAGAGCAATGGCTTCAAACTATAGGAAAGGAGATTCCACCTAAGCATGAGGAAGAACTTCCTAACTGTGAGAGCTGTTCAGCAGTGGAACTCTCTGCCCTGGGATGTGATGGAGGCTCCTCCTTAGGAGGCTTTTAAACAGAGGCTGGATGGCCATCTGTCGGGGGTGCTTTGAATGTGATCTTTCTGGTTCTTGGCAGCGGGTTGTACTGGATGGCCCAGTTGTATGATTCTGCGATCCTCTTGGTAACATGTTGGTAAATTGAAAAGGAATAAGCAAAGCCTAAAGATACTTTGCTTCCTGAAGTGAAGGATAGGACAGTGTTCCCTTGTACTGCTCAGTTGTAGGTCTGGCCATGCCAATAAGTTAAGGCAGTGGTGTACTGTGGCTGATTTTGATTAACCAAGTTTTCTTACATGTTTCCTTACTGAATAATTAGTATCTTTCCATTGATTCTATTACATATTGCCACAATACTGTATCCCATAGATTCAGAAGTAAAGATTACTGTTATCTAAATGAATAAAACGAATCTACCCCTATTTCTATGAAAAAAAAATTGAAATCCTTGGCATGTTGACTCAGAAGTGAGTCCTATTGAGTTCAGTGGGGTTTGCTCTGAGATGACGGAGTGTAAAATTGTAGCCATAGCACCCTTGATTTAATATTTATACTATATGTTCATATACCTTGTAGGGTAGAAGGGATGTTTTTAGCTTCTCCTCTTGACATGATTTTACATTTCCCAGACATATGCTTCCAACAGATAATTCTGAGTTATAATTAACCTAAAAAAGAAAACCCTTAGCACTTATCAAGTACTTGTTTTTGTATAATGCATTTAAACCCCTCCACAACTCCCGAAATAGTTTAATTACCAGAAACTGAATCAGTAAAAAGACTTCACAAACTGGTAATCAGACCAAAGAAAAGCTAATAATGTAGCACAGATTAAGAAACATCAAAATGATGCACAGTACAGTTGTGGAGTCCCTTGGCACAGTCCAAGAGCACAACAGAACATTTCCAGCCACATGGATGCTTCAAGTGTGGAAACTGCCAATCTACTTGGCTTTGGTTTCTGGCATCTCTGTTTCAAGGTCCAGCTCTGTCAGACAACAGTAGAATAGCATCTGAACAAACTTTGTGGTTGTGGCTACAAGATAAAAGACAGTAAGACAAAACTGATGACATTATAGGAGTGGTAAATATGTTGTTATTTATGGCAATAATTTCTACATTTCATTATAAACATGGTAATCTGGGTTGTTGTAGGTTTTTTGGGCTATATGGCCATGTCCTAGAAGCATTCTCTCCTGATGTTTTGCCTGCATCTATGGCAGGCATCCTCAGAGGTTGTGAGGTCAACCTACAGTGATTCTGGCTATGAAAGCCTTCAACAATACATTGAACATGATAATCCTTCTGTTGATTTGAATAGTTTTACTATTTATAGAGGGTTTATAGAGTTTTACTATTTATAGAGGGTTTTGAACTACAACTCCCACAATCCCTAAACTAGCAGGGCTACAGGTCAAGTGAGTTGGGGAGCCTGGAACTTTTCTAGGTTCTGCCTATTGCAAAGGATATTGGTAAAATCAGGTGATGTAGTACTTTTTAATTTTTTTGTATTACAGGAACACAACAAGTTGCCTTGTACTTAATTACAGGAATAGTTGACCTGGGTTCGACCTACACTGCCTTATAATCCAGTTGTAGAATGCAGATTAACTGTGTTAAACTAGATTATATGAGTCTACACTGCCATATAATCCTGTTCAGTGCAGTTAATCTGCATTATGAAACTGCATTATATGGCAGTGTAGATGGGGCCTTAGACTAGAATTATTAACTGTGGCAGCAGCTTTCCACACTTTCAGAAATATCCTTTCTTAGGGCTTGTCTACATGAATTTAAAAAATGTGAACTTGTCTCATATCCAGGCTGGTTGTCTACATGACGGCAACTTCTGGTGAGTATTTTGAGTATTCTGCTCTTTACCTGTTTTTTCTGCTTTAGGAAAATCTGGGAGAAACTCTGGAAATTGCAGGGATCTCTAGAGTGTTCTGGAGCTTTGAGCAGTTTGGGCAGTTGGATTGGGTCTGTTTCAGCCTAATCTACTGTCCAGATGGATACCACTGGTATCATTTTTTCATTGTGCTGATCAGTGCCAGGTGAAGGCATGGCTCATCCCCATCCTTTCACTGCTGCCCTCCTTCCTTGCTGACTATGCAGGTACATCATTCTGAAATCAGCAAATGGAATAGCCATGGAGAGCCACCGCTCACCTGTCACATTGCTAGAGGAGGGTGTTTTCAGTGACAATTGACAATCTCAGGATGCAATCCTCAGATTCAGCAGGTACATGCTGATCCAGGGCAGTTCCTGAGCAGAATTAGATGCTGACTTATTACTACCTGGAGGTCTGCTGGCGTTCCCTAAAATCAGACAATAGTGGATGTATTCTAGGACAGAATAGAGGTCACCATACCATGTAAACTCATAACAGTACATTGTTTAATTTTGGTGTATGCATATGGAAGTATTTTGAGACACTAATGAATTGAGAGGGGTGCTTTGAATGTGCTTTTCCTGCTTCTTGACAAGGCGTTGGACTGGATGGCCCACAAGGTCTCTTCCAACTCTGTGATTCTATGAGAGGATAGGGCTTATACATATTTAAATAAATAACATTGTTTCTTACCAGAAAGCCACTGAAGAAATCGAGGTCTCCTTTCAGTTGGCAAATAGACTCCCAAAAAGTATGCAGGAATTCCAGAGAGTGCAATGCCAATTCCAATAATGGAATTGATTGTATCACTGTAGAGAGGAACAATGACTAGGAAAAGGCTGCATATGCAGTACACAATGGGGAAGAAAAGGCTGAGCTGAAAATTAAAAAGAAGAATGCTCTTTGAAGGAAATATTGTGAAAAATTACAGCATGGTATCACATACCAAACCTCATAACTTAATACGAATATTATTTCTTTGAAGTGACTTTACTTTCAGCAGACATAAGATTTCAGTGTCTCTTATTAATTCACTACTGTCTCATGTCACTGTGTGGCTGATAGCTATGATGGCTAAAATAGGACAAAATAGGCTCAAAATAGGCTTGCTCACTAAATGTTGTAACTACTCATGTATGTGTATATGTGGAAGGGAAGGGGGTTGGCCCAAAATTGCATAAACCTTTATGATATAATTTATAATTATATGTTATGGTTATTATAGGTTAGGTTTTATATGAATGTGAGGCATTAAATTTTGCCATAAATATGTTGGAAACAGCTTTGAGTCCCCCCTCGGGTGAGAAAAGCAGTATACAAGTGAAGTAAGTAAGTAAATAAATAAATACCACCATACACCTCATAGAAAGACAAAAGACTAACCCTGGTGACATTTTTAAGGGTGTAGCATCTCAACACTTAAATGTCTGAACCATTCTGCATTTAAAATATTTAGACAATTAAGCAAATTAGAAATCAGCCCTCTTCTGTTTAGAGTACAAGAAATCTGTTTCCATTCTGTCCATTGTTAGTTGTTCACTCCTTATTTCTGCCAGACTGGGCAAACCATGATCAAACTTCTCCCCAACATATTTAAATTCTGGGAAGGAAAACAAAAAAATCCATTCAGTTATGAGTTTGCTAGCAAATCACTGATGCATTCCCAACTGTGTCTGGTCAGAACAGTGATAGTTGAAGCAGAAATTCCAGAGCAAAGATTAATATGCATGTGGCTGTGGTTCAGAGCATTTGTAGAGCATGACCCCATCCTCTTTATCCAAGTCCTGAACTGATTTGCTGGCATAAGCTGGATATCAGAAACAACTTCGGCCACTTTAGGATCTTTTAACCAAAGAAAATGTAACTGTACAATCTTAATAGCAAGACTACAAATACATGTTAATTTTAAAGCATCAGTTCTACTTTTCTACTTACTTTGATAGGCCTTGGCCTGTTGGGGTGGGTGTACCTTAAATATATTAATCCTGCAATGGATAACCCAACAAAGAACCAATAGCTGAAACAATAGTAATTGATCAAGAGAAAGATGTCTTCCACAAGGAGATAAACCAGAGTCATTAAACCCTAAAGAGATATAAAACAGAATGTAAAGGTGAGAATAATGGACTGTAAGTCAAGGGTTGGCAACTGTGACTCTCCAAATATTTTTGGTCTACAACTCTCATTAGGGGCCATGGTGGTGCATCGAGTTAAACTGCTAAGCTGCAGAACTTGCTGACCAGAAGGTTGGCAGTTCAAATCCGTGGGATGTGGTGAGCTCCTGCTATTAGCCCCAACTTCTGCCAACCTAGCAGTTAGAAAACATGCAAATGTAAGTAGATCAATAGGTACCACTTTAGTGGGAAGGTAACGGTGCTCCATGCAGTCATGCCGGTTACATGACCTTGGAGGTGTCTATGGATAATGCCAGCTGTTAGGCTTAGAAATGGAGATGAGCACCACCCCCCAGAGTCGGACTCAACTAGACTTAATGTCATGGGGAAACCTTTACCTTTACCTTACAACTCACATTAACTCTATTCAGTTTAGTGAATATTATAGGAGCTGCAGTCCAATAACATCTAGACCAGTGGTTCTCAACCTGTGGGTCCCCAGGTGTTTTGGACTACAACTCCAGAAATCACAGCCAGTTTACCAGCTGTTAGAAGTCAAAGGCTAAAACATCTGAGGACCCACAAGTTGGGAACCACTGATCTAGACCAATACAAAGTTGTCCACACTAATCGAAGCAGATATTCTACATCAGATATGAGAAACTTTTAGTTCCCTTGGCTATCTCTTATGATCCCTTACCATTAGGATATACTTTTTATGATGGAGCATATGTAAACCTCAGCAGGTGGTACTTTCTAAATTCCATATTCAGTTTGGTCAACGATGACAGATGATGACAGCTGTAATCCCACATCTGGAGGACTACAAGTTGGCCAGTCTTGCTAGACCCACTTATCTGGGAGTAAACTCAATGTGCCTATTTCCAAGCATGTACTCACGATATTGTATTGTAAATCACATATACAAATAGATAAATAAATAAATAAATAAATAAATAAATGTTTGGCTTGTAATTCTTACTTACATTAAAAAGAAGAGCAGGAACAGGTGTGAAACATTTTACATGAATCAAACTCAGGCTGTCATGGAGGTGTCCTTCTCTGGCCCCAACGTAAAAAAGCCTGTCATAAGGTGAAGAAAGTCCATCAGCACACAATCCTACTAAATGAAATTCCAGAGACTACATTAATACATATACATAAAAAGGATACAGAACATAACATCTAACTAACTATAGACATATTTGTTTACTTGACACTGGGAAAATATATCCTTTTTATGGATATTTACTATTTTATGGATATTTACTATTACTATTTAAATCCGAAAACTTGGTTGTTGTAATATTCCCATATGGACAAGCCAGCTTTTGAGCTGTAAGATTATTGTTTCCTTTTATATATCAACATGCCTGTACAAAAGTATTCTATAAATTCCCATTTGAACAGCAAAAACATTTAAAAATCTTAAGATTTAAACACCCAAGGGAAATGAAGATAACTTCAACCAAGATTGTAAATACTATAATGTTTAGATGCCAGGCAAGCCTCTTTGTACAAGGTTTTCAACTATTGTGTCACCACCAAAACACCTTCACTAGTATTATCCATCATTGTCACACCATTTACTTGGGTATCTGTATCTTGATATTATATTAAAGATTTGGTAGACAAGATAACCTTTAAGGTAGCCTGCCCCCAACTGATTTTGGGCTTTAAAGGTTAATACCAATGTTTTCAACTTGACCCAAAAATGAACATACAGTTAGTATACATAGAGTAGATCTAGGATAATATGCTACTAATGTTATTTATGAATATGTTCAGAGCAGTTACTGTCTTCAAAGACAGTTGCCCTTCCGTAACCTTGTTCTAAAAACAAGCTGGTATATGATCTGATTGTACCAATGTTCCATGAATAAAATGGAGAAATGAGGTTAAACCCTCATGGGTTTCTATAGAAACTTCAGTGGAGAGGCATTACAATGATGTGAAGTAGCTAGGACAGAGCTTTCCAAACGATGTGTTGCAACACATTAGTGCATTGGCTGCAGTGAGTACGTGTGTCATATAAATGTAACAAGAAACTTTGGAGTCTATGTGAAATCATATATTTTAAAAAAATACAAATTAAAAGTTTTCATGAGATATGCTGTATCCCCATACATTTCATTTTGTATGTATGTGTCCATATATCTTATAAGAGATTAGTTTAACCTTAGTTTGCTAGTAAACCCGAATTACTATGACACAAAAGGATGCATGTCGAAAAAGTGTGTCACCAACATGAAATGTTTGAAAAGCTCTGAATTATGGAGAACATTTCCTTTCATCCCATAAGTTATTAGAAGCAGCAGAACAAACCATCTCTATATTTCTCCTGCCCCTCCTGGTTCATGAAGTCTTTGGGAAACAATTAAAAGCTTGTGTGATTAGTTCTCATAATGGACAACACTGTCAAAAATTGAAGCAAATCAGGATAAGCAATGTGGTTCTCCAGATGTTTTCAGATTTCAGATCCCATTAGCCCTACTCAACATAGCCAACGATGAAGGATGGTGGGAGCTGTGTCCCAACAATATTTGGAGGAGCACACATTAACATTAATAGGTTACTATACTCTCCCAGCCTTGTTTTAAGTGTATGTTTGACTATAAAAGACTTTAGCTTTGTTGTTGTTTATTCATTCAGTCACTTCCAATTCTTCATGACCTCATGGATCAACCCACGCCAGAGCTCCCTGTTGGCTGTTGTCACCCTCAGCTCCTTTAAGGTCAAGCCAGTCACTTCAAGGATACCATCCATCCATCTTGCCTTTGGTCAGCTCCTCTTCCTTTTCCCCCAGCATCATTATCTTCTCCAAGCTTTCCTGTCTTCTCATTATGTGGTCAAAGCACTTCATCTTTGCCTCTAATATCCTTCCGTCCAATGAGCACTCAGGCTTTATTTCCTGGAGTATGGACTGGTTTGATCTTGCGGTCCAAGGCACTCTCAGAATTTTCCTCCAGCATCACTGTTCAAAAGTGTCTATCTTCCTTCGCTCAGCCTTATAGTCCAGCTCTCACATCCATAGGTGACTATGGGGAATATTGGTTTTACTATGCGGATCTTGGTTGCCAGTGTGATGTCTCTACTCTTCACTATTTTATTGAGATTGGTCATTGCTCTCCTCCAAAGAAGTAAACATCTTCTGATTTCCTGGCTGCACTCTGTTTTTTCCCTCTATTTGCCAATTATCAGTCTGGTTGCTATAATCTTGGTTTTTTTTATATTTAACTGCAATCCAGCTTTTGCACTTTCTTATTTCATCTTGGTTATAAGGCTCCTCAGCTTCTCCTTACTTTCAGCCATCAAAATGGTATCATCTGCATATCTAAAGTTGTTAATGTTTTTTTCCAGCAATTTTAACTCCAGCCTTGGATTCATCAAGCCCCCCACGTTGCGTGATGTGTTCTGCATGCAAGTTGAATAAGTTGGGTATACTGTCCTGTCGTACCACTTTCCCAATCTTGAACCAGTCTGTTGTTCTGCGTTCTCTTCTTACCATAGCTACTTGATTGTTATACAGATTCCTCAGGAGATAGACAAGGTGACTTGCCACAATTTATTATGATCCACACAGTCAGAGGCTAAAGAATAGTCAATAAAACAGAAATAGATGTTTTTTCTGAAACTCCCTGCATTCTTCCATTATCCTGAGGATAAGCTAGAGATGAGTTTTTAAATGGACCACAAGGTGGCAGTGTGCTTTTAAGAACATTCCATCACACCTTGATTCACCAAGCTGATCTGCTGCTGTTCAGGCCAAAATGTATTGCATTTATTTGAAGCATTTAGTGCTGCCTTTCATGGTGAAACTTGCTGACTGACTACCTTGCTATCTAACTGGCTTAACAATGCTGCTTTGTCTTCTACACCAGTTACTTAGATAATATATTAAAACAACTATGCAAAAGGATCTTTTAGCACCTTAAGGAGACTAACAGAAAGAACAAAGTTGGTATCATAAGCTTCTGTAAACAAAGTCTACTGGGTTCAGAAGCAGACTGGAGTATGAAAACTACTACCAATTTCATTCACTCAGTCTCTAAATGTGGATATTGCCAAACCTATTGAAATGAAGGACTTGTTAGAATCATAGAATTAAATAAGATCACAAAGGCATCCGGTTTGATCCCCTCCCTCCATGAATAGAATACAAAGCACTCCTGTCAGATGGCCATCCAGTCTCGGTTTAAAACCTCCAGCAACTTCACCACATTCCAGCCCAGCATATTTCACAATTGAACAACTCCTATCATCAGTAAATTATTTCATAAGTTTAGGTGGAATCTGTTATTGAAGTTTGAATCCATTGCACCAGGCCTTATGGCGCATCTACACTGTTGTATTAATGCTGTTTGATGCCACTTTAACTGCTATGTCTTAATGCCATGGAATCCTGGGTGTTGTAGTTTAGTGAGGCACCAATGTTCTTGGGCAGAGAATTCTAAAGATCGTATAAAACTACAACTCCTATGATTCCATGGTATTGAATCTTGGAAAATAAAGTGATGTTGAACTGCATTAGTTCTACAGTGTAGATGCACCCACAGTCGCTCCCAGACATCTTCCCTGGGAGCAGCAGAAAAAAAGCTTGTCCCGCCCCTTCCACAATGTGACATCCTTTCAGATATTGAAACACGGCTATCATGTTTCCTCTCAGCCTTTTTTTCCTCCAAGATAACCATGCCCCAAGCTGTTCCTAAATGGGCTTGGCTTTCAGACCTTTGATCATTTGGTCAACCTATCCTGTACACATTCCAGCGTGTCAATGTTCTTGGGACATCTGGCCACAAAATTCCAGAGTTGTGCTGAAGGCACAGAAAGGTCATGTTTTGTTGGACATGGATAAATGAAATTGCAGATAACAATCCCAGGATAGGATCAGGAATGGCAGTACTATCCATTATTCATTGAAATCACATACTACAAAACTGATATCATCTGTATAGCATCAGTAGCTGTCTCATACCTGGAAGCTGCAATTATTGATGAGTTTAATCCTCCATAACAAGACATGGCCACTGCAATTGGGATGATCCACTTTGCATAGCTAAGGGTTTCATTTCCAAAAGTCTACAGTTGAGTTTGGGAGAGAGAGAGAGGGAGGGAGGGAGAGATATTTGTTCAACTAGTTTCAGTGTTAGCCAGCTGTCATAGAGATTTACATCTTAAACCACAAAATCAGGTCACACCATTGTTGACCACTGTGATTGCCATCATCGGGGGTTGGGGGGGTGGGACACATTTCAAACACCAACATGCTGATATTTTTATTTTCCATTGCATTTAGCTAAATGGCCAATGAATGGGTAAGTAAGAAGCAAGAGAAGTGAAATCAATATCTATAAAAAAATCATTGTGATTCAAAAGTGGGATTAAATCCAAACTAGGAATCATGTCGAGTGGCAAATGTTGCCGGATTACCATTTCCATAAACCCTAGCCAGCATAAACAGTGAAAGGAATATGCTGGGAGATGAAATCAACAATACCTTGAAAAACTGTATGATTTCTACCCCCTCCCCCATTTAATTACTGAAGTGGGAGAGTTTGATAGACAGCAAAAGGGACCATTATGTGCTTTGTACATTTGTACAGGAAGCCCTGACCCTTGAGTGCTCTAACTGGAGGTCAGCTGTGACCACCACTGCTGTGGAATTCGATGAGCACAAATGGAGGACGAAAGGGAGAAACATGTCAAGAGGAAGGCATGTTAAGCCAACCCCGACCAGGACTGCCTTCTACCTGGAAACCAATGTCCTCACTGTGGAAGAATATGTGGATCAAGAAAAGGCCTCCACAGTCACCTACAAACCCACCACCAAGACCCTACACTCAGAAGGCCACCATACTCGGACAACGAGGGATTGCCTAAGTAAGTAAGTAAGTAAGTAAGTACATTTAGTTGAGGAATTCATGGTCCTCTAAGTGTTGAAAGACTTCTACTTCCATGGTCCCTCAACAATAAACAATATGGCTATGGCTTATAGGAACTGAAGTGCCACAATATCCGGAGGACCAGCCTGGCTTAGTGCTATGGCAGAAGCATTGTTGTTTACTAGGCAATTTGTTTCATTTGTTATTGCCTTAGGACTCTGGCTTGTTCAAACCCCGGTTTGGCACTGCACCCAAATCTGCAATAATTGCTTCTTCCTGGTACCCTTTCCTAGCAGTCTTCCATAAAATAGGAAATGATAAAATAGGTGGGAGAGGATTAGACCAGAAATTGATTTATTTAACCATCTATGGGAGAATTGTGTCTACAGACCACAGTTAACATAAACCGTGATATAAACATGCATGATGTATAAATGTAGCCATAGTGTTCCACTCGATGCCACTAACTGTTCAGGAGTTGCAACATACCACAGCCACAGCATCACTTGCTAGCAGAGCAGGCATGTCTAGCACGACATAGTAGGCCACATTAGTTAGTAGGTAAATGATTGTCACTATAGGCATGGAAATTGCGATGGAAAGTGGCAGGTTCCTGTAAATTGGAAATTTTAAAAAAGTATAACACGTTATTTGCAAAAGACTGAAGGACAATAGTATAGTCACTTGTGCATGCATTTTTCCATATGCAAATATTGTTGAAAAGGTCTACAGATGTCCCCATAAACTGTAAGCAAGCATTTAATGCAAGAATGGTTCTTTGAGACCCCCTTCTACACTGCCATATAACATCCAAATTATCTGCTTTGAACTGGATTATATGGCAGTGTAGACTCAAAACAATTATCTGATTTGATAATCTGGATTATATGGCAGTGTAGAAGGAGCCTGATACATGCATATACCTTTCTGGGTTTTTCATTTCTTCTGTGACAAAATTCAGCGTATCCCATCCAGAGTAGGAAAACAGCGCTGAATACAGAGCAAGCGCAATTAATCCTGCATCAGCAGTTGAACCTTCAAATGGTTCCTTGAGATTATCTGTTTCTCCTGTGAAAACAGTGAAAATCTGTGGTCATTTACATCTGTACATATGCTCAGTTTGTAGCTTACATAAAATAGGTATGGTTGGGTATTTCATTTTCAGAAAAGAATGGATAAAAATCATTTTTATATTGTAGAATCCTAAAAGGCACCACAGGGGCCATCTAGTCAAATCCTCTGTGATAGAGGAATAGAGAACTGCATATTGCTGCTCTTACATGTTTCACAGTTCTGGAAAATTATCAATTTGTAGTCATTTTCTAACATAAAAAAAAAGGAAAGTCACAGAAGATCATAGGTCAGCTTCTGTGGCCAGATATCCTTAAAGTTAACCTGCTATCTTTTCTGAATCTTCTATTGTTGAAGTAGCAAAGTTCATACAAGTAGACCATCCTCACCAGTTATTATCAATACAAGTGGTCCAATATGAACTCTCATCATGTAAAATACATGTGCAGCTAAGCTAGAATGGATGTAGATTATCAAGGATCACATGGAGCTCCCCTTGGTACAGTGGGTTAAATCCTTGTGCTTGCAGGACTGAAAACCAACAGGTCAGAGGTTTGAATCTGGGGAGAGTGTGGATGAGTTCCCTCTGTCAGCTCCAACTCCCCATGCAGGTACATGAGAGAAGCTTCCCACAAGGATGATAAAGCATCAAAACATCAGGGAATCCCCTGAGTAACATTCTTGCAGATGGCCAATTCTCTCATACCAGAAGCAACTTGGGGTGAGAAAAGTGGTATATAAATGCTGTAAATAATAAATAATAACTTGCAGTTTCTCAAGTCACGCTGGACACGGAAAAAAAAACCCCAGGATCATTACTGATCACTAATCCAGATCATTAAAAACATTAGTTGATCATTATTAGCCATTCACCTTGTTAAAAGGCTTTTGGGAAAGGTGTCTTAGGGAAAATCAATGGCTAAATGTTTTTTTCTGTAGAATAATGTGTTCCTCAGCAGAATCATTTAGGAAACAGTGTTTTTATAGAATGAAGCCATGGCTAATTCACATTATCATATTAGTTACTACGTATTTGTACTTTATGTGATTGTCCAAGGGGTCCATTCACAAGATCATCATCTCTTGGATAACCATATGATGGGAATAGGCAAAATAATAATAATAATAATAATAATAATAATAATAATCTTTACTTATACCCCGCCACCATCTCCCCCAATGTGCAAAACATATATCAATGGTAGAATGCCCACACTATGGTTGATGTAATAACTTCCCACATGGTCACAGCCTCAAGGATGGTTTATGTGGAGGACTAGAGAAATCATCCAAACGTTTTGGTTTTAGCTATCCTATAACTATCAAAGCTATTCAGTTTTGTAAGTATTTACCCATAGGAAATGTGCTCTTACCTTTGCTAATCTTATACAGACCCACAGCTATTATCATAATAAGGGCCATAACTTTAGCATATGTGAAAAGATCTTGTACTCTGGTCCCCCACTTCACATTGACACAGTTAATAAATGTCAGGGAGCCTAATAAGAAAACAGAATACAAATAAGATAAACGTGGTTAACTTGATAACTCTACATTAGCAGTTTCTGTGTCGTTGTTATGTGAAATCAATGGAATATAACAAGGATGCAAAGCCACAGCAGGAGAAGGAAGCAAAGTTATCCAAATGCATACCAAAAATGAGTGTGTAAGAAAGGCCAAGTAATGGATGGCTGTTTCAAGTATGATGTGTTACCAATAGGTGAGAATTAGGAACAAAGAGCTATGGAAACAACGTTATTCAATATAGAAATAACTGATTTTTAAATTATCTGCTTATGGATAGTACTGCAGTTTCTAAGCATATCTGAACAGACTAACGAAGGGAAGAATGTATTGTCGAAGGCTTTCACTGGGTTGCTGTAAGTTTTCCAGGCTGTATGGCCATGTTCCAGAAGCATTCTCTTCTGACATTTTGCCCACATCTATGGCAGGCATCCTCAGAGGTTGTGAGGTCTGTTAGAAACTAAGCAAGTGAGGTTTATATATCTGGAATGTCTAGGGTGGGAGAAAGAACTCTTGTCTGCTTGAGGCAGGTGTGAATGTTGCAATTGGCCAGCTTGATTGGCATTTAATGATCTTGCAGCTTCAAAGCCTGACTGGTTGCTGCCTGGGGGTCCTTTGTTGGGAGGTGTTGGCTGGCCCAGATTGATTCTTGTCTTGAATTACCCTGTTTTGTTTTGTTTTTGTTTTTTTTAGTGTTGCTAAAATTTAATTTATTTCTTGGCCTAAAATTGGTTTTCCTGACGCTTGGGAAACCAAACCAGAAATAAACAAAGAGAGGCAAGAATTTTCCTGTTTTAATCCAGTTTTCATACATCCAAAAACACCTTCATAATTTTTTTGTAGGCAGAATATACATGGAGTATTTTTTTTACATAAAACTGTTGTGTATATTTAAAATCATTTTAGAATAACAATATTGTTTTCTATGTTAAAAAATCATGAAAAACTCTAGAAATGTTTTTGTTCAAGATTTGGGGGTGAGTGCACAAAAACCATAATTTTTGCTCAAAAACATTTTTGTCACAAATCTTGACATGTACAGAATAGTTTCCTCAAAGACGTTGAATGTGTAATTAACACCTCAAATCTGAACAGAAATATTTCTGTTGCTCAGGAGAAGGAAGAAAGCTACTGGAATATTTGTCTTTACATACAATGATAAAATATTAGATGTAAATAATTAGAATATTCACCAATCTGAAGAGAAGGAGAAAAAAACCCTTAGAGTCAGAATACATTGCTATTTACAGTGAGAAAGCACTCAGAATACCAAACGACGACGACTATTATGATGATAATGTATTTTATACCCACCTCTCCTCAAGGCTTGAGATGGAATATATTATTGTTAAAATACATAAATAAAAACATAAATTCATTACACAAATATTAAAAGGTACAGGCATAAGATTAAAACACATTAAAATTATCCATATTAATAAAATACCAATTTAATATTAAAAAATTTAAATTGATCAGGTAAACCTGCCAAAGGAGACAGCTCTTTAATTCTGTTTGATATTCTGGCAACTCAAATCTTTTCAGGCAGGTCATTCCACAGTATAGATATTTTCAATGAAAAAAGGCCTCTAGGTGATAGTTGCCAATCAAGTTCCAGCTGGTTGAAGTAAACTTTCTCCAGAAGAGCTAAGCATATGGGGTGAAGCAGAAGGTGATCCTGCAGATAATCTGGACCAAAACCATGCAGGACTTTAAGGGCAATGACCAGCACTTTGCACTGCCCAATGGAGTGATTTTAGTATACTGTAGGTGTAATATGCTCACTCCTAGATTATTTTCAAAACCAATCTGGTTGCCAGTTTGGACTAATTAGAGTTTCTGTACTTAGTACAGAGATACTCCAATGTACAGTGCATTACAGAAGTCCAAACTTGAGGCTACCAGAATGTACTACTATCTTGTACTACAGTTCTAGGGGTATCAGGGACTGCCACCTTACCAGCCTCCTCCACTGCTGATTCTGCCAGACTTATAGTATTGGCAGAAAGGACAGCCATCTACTGCTGAGCAACCTTGTACTATGCACCATGGATTTAATTCAGTTGTTCCCAACTTTTTTTTTTTACCAAGGACCACATTGACCAAAGACCACTCTCCAACATTAGTACCAAAAGGGTTATGAATCAGTTTTTGGTCAATTTTAGATTCGGTTTGGTTATTTGGGGTGCTGATTTAGAAAATTGCATCGGATAGACCACATCAGCTCTAGTTTCTGATACAGAACATATGCCATCCAGTAGTCACCATATGTGTACCCACAGAAAACCATATTTAATAATCCAGAGCTGATATGGTCTATCCAATGCAATTTTCTGAATCAGCACCCCAAATAAACCAGGAACAAGCCTAAAAATGAAGACACCAAGGCGCCCCTGCTTCCAGGTGCCATATGGAACGGCTCCATTCAGAGGGAGGAGAAGCAGCAGTCAGAAGGCTTGCTGACATGCCTTTTGTGAGTAGTCAGCCTCTCCTCTCCCAACATCCTTGTTGCCTTGGTACTATAAGAGGGTTTCGCGAGACCAGTCGCTCTTGTTGCAATGGTGTAGTAACGGTGAGGGCGTAGACCATATTTTAGTTCTTGGGGGCCATGGATTACAGGTTGGGAATCATTGATTTAATTGCACTGCAGTACCACAGTATGCTCTTTGTTACAGAAAACTGTTACATTATTTCATCTAATACTTTCTCAGACTATGGGGAGATTTTCCAGGTACTGGATACTTTGAAGGCAAAATGAGGTTAGAGATGGGCTTACACATATGCAACCAGTATGGCTACAAAACAGAATACCGCTATTCCTGCTGGAACCACTCAAGAAAGCTTTGGCAAATGCAGAAAAAAAGACATTTTTGTACCAGCTGAAACCAGCTCTGATTGGATTAGTAGCCAATTATTTAAAAGAAGCCCTGAAGCAAACTGAGGGTCTGTAATGTACCTTAAACCACTGACAGGGCACTAAAAAAGAAGTCATTACCAACTGACAACAACTAAGAATGTGTTACTAGACCGATCTTGGGCAACTTGTGATGTTAAGAATAGAGTTTGGCATGTAGAGCTCGTTCCAGCTATTTGATGACATTGAACGTATCTTTTGATAGATAGTTTTAGTTAATAACACAAAGAGTCACACTGTTCCTGATGCTTCCCAATGGGAGGTCCTTAATTTTACCACGAAGGAAGGGCCTAACATTACCTAACTATTTCATGTCTTATCTGTCCAGGGTTTTCTTCCTTTCTCCTTACCATTTGCAGTACCATAATTGCCCAATTATGAAACCATTCACCAACCCTTGAATTTTGCTGAAATGACAGAAATATATAGTTATGATCTTTTTCTTGCCCACTTGTCCCCAGAATAAAACAGAGATTCAAGCTTCAAACCTGTGTAATGAAATTAAATGTGCACATTGGTTGATCACAGTCGTACTTACAGATGCAGGCAGCCGCAATCAACCGGACTGCTCCATAGGGTGGTTCACAGAATGGAAAGATTGGCTGAACAATGTAGTTAGCAAAAGTGATGGCTATGACTGCTTGAGTTGTTGGTTCAATAATAAGCAAGGAAGACCACAGTCTGATAAAGGCTATGAAGCCTCCAAAGGCTTCTAAAATATAAGCATAGCTTGCTCCTGATTTAATGATGGATGTCCCCAGCTCAGCATAGCACAGTGCTCCAAACAATGAAAAGATCCCACCAAGGGCCCAGAGAAGGAGCGAGAGTCCATAGGAGCCACTGTACATCAGAACTCCCTTGGGTGATACAAATATCCCCGAGCCAATCATGTTCCCTACTATTAAAGAAATGCCATTCAACAAAGTGATTTCTTGTTTCATCTGCATTTTTTCCTTCTTGTCCTCTGCCACTGAGTCCAATTCCTGTAATCCATTCTTGGGCGTATTCTTTTTCTTGCAACACACTGTCCAAGGGCCTGTCATCTTCAGTTAATCATTACCTGGAAATGAGGAGAAGGTGAGAATATTTTTTGTCTGTAATGCTTTTTAAAAAGAACGTCTTGTCTCAAAGGACAGAGTTGGAAGGGAACAGCCTGAGTCTCTACTGGGTCTGTTGACTGTAACCAAGTGAAGGCAAGCTCATCTTTGTTATCCCTGGCTATGGAAAGAAGTCATGTGATTGTAAGATTTATCAAGAATCCCAAGGCTACCTGGCTGTAGATGCCTCTTCATCAGTAACTTGGAAAACCGTTCTTTGAACTGTATCTTCTAGAATCTCCTGCCTGATCAGGGAGTTGTATTCCCAAAATACAATTTTCCCAAGCTCAGCTATTCATGCAATTCATGTTTCTCAAAAATATGTTCCACTCAATTCAGCAGGGCTTTTTTGTTGGTAAGCATGCATCGGATTACAACCAAATAGCACAGTTCTATATATGTTTGACACGAAACAAACAAGCAAAAGTAAATCCCACTGGATTCAGTGGGGATTTCTCCAAAGAAATTAGATACAGAATGGCTGATCTGCCGTGTTTCCAACATGAGGGTGATATGAATAAATGGCTATTTGCATACCAAAAAGACTGAGTAGTGAACAATAGCAATTATGGCATATGTTCTTAATATCTTAAATGCACCTAATTGCATCTGATCTTAGATGTTAAGCAGAGTCAGTTAACGACAACATTGACTGGAATATGAAAAGGTGGGGAACACTTGGAGAAAACTCCATCTCAGTCTTTCGAAACAGTTACCTGAAACAGTTACACTGAAACCCAGTACTGTACATTGGATCAGTTTGACCCTGTTGCTTCACCCATTTGGCTGCTCTCCCAAAAACAAACTTGAGCCAATGAGTTTGCTTTGCCAATGATTTAGTTACTCATTTGAACTAGTCTTCTTTGGATTGTTTACATTCTTCCCAGAAGAAGTGACCCTGGAGGTTTTAATTGCATACTTTCAGTGACAAAATGCCCTTTCATTCTTTTTTTCATGTCAAAAGTGTAAACTTGATTATAAAGGTCAACCACTGAATTCCAATCAGTTTCAAAGGGGGAAGACTAGAAGGTGAAACCAGAGATTATATCAATTTTATTTTAGCTTGCAGAAGTATTTACCACAAACAGAGGAGATATGTTTTCCTTAAGGGCTCAACCTTGAAGAAGTTAGAAAGAAACAGATGGCCACATGACAACCTGAGCCTGCACCAGATCAAGTCTAACAACAACAAAATGATGGAAGTTCCTATTTGCAAATACTGTGAGGATTATACTCTTAAAGATTTTCCCCTATATGCTTCCTGATCAGGAAGAGCCAGCAATGCATACTGGGTTGAGCATTGGACCATGGCTCTGTAAAATAGGTAATGGAAACCCACTGTTTGACCTTGGGCAAGTAACACATGCTTAGCCTCAGAAAATCTCATTATAGGTTTGTCTTAGGGTCACCTTACATCTGAAGGTACTCAATAACAAGCTCCCTAATCTACAGCTTCATCTACACAACTCTGAATATTTAGAACCATTTAATATGCTGACTTATTCATACCATTTTTAAATGCCAGGAGCAACTTGAGAAACTGAAAATTGCTTCTGGTGTGAGAGAACTGGCCGTCTGCAAGGACATTGCCCAGAGGATGACCAGTTGTTTTGATGTTTTACCATCCTTGTGGGAGGCTTCTCTCATGAGAAGCTGGAGCTGACAGAGCGAGGTCATCCACACACTCTCTGGATTTGAACCTCTGACCTGTCGGCCTTCAGTCCTACTGGCACAAGGGTTTAACCCATTGCACCACCAGGGGCTCCATTAATACCAGTGAAATGATAGATTCACATGCACCCCTTGCTCTCATTATTTGTGCATGTTATTAAAACAAATAGGCTGAAGGGTTGTAACTATGTCCAAATTACACAGCTGAGGTTATGCTGCACATTACCTTGACAGTGGGATAAAACAGGCAGTTGTTGTCTACACATGTGACAGTTGTCACGCTAGAAGTAGATTCCTGAGAAGATGTGCACTATTTTTATATTGAGATACATTGGACATTTGTCATCTACAGTATCTCAGGATATGGTCTGAAGACTAAAGGGACAATCGACTTGCTGAAGCTAGATAGCTCTTTGATAGACTACCACCTGGATATCCTATACTTACTACATTTAGTTCCAAGATGGTAATAACATGGATACTAATAATGTACATTAAATAAAATGTTTTTATTTATCAGGAACAAACCAAGGGTATAGTTGTAATGTATTTTAAAAAGCAGTTTAGAAACTTGACATTACATTAAATGTCCTTTGACCAGTAGCTGGCCACTTGGAGTGCCTCTGGTGTGCATGTGGCAGGGCTCAGACTGCATTGTAATAGGTGGCCTGTGGTTTGTTCTTCTCCACACTTGCATGTCATGGACTCCACTTTGTGGCCTCATTTCTTAAGGTTGGTTCTCCATCTCATGGTGCCAGAGTGCAGTCTGTTCAGTGCCTTTCAAGTCGCCCAGCCTTCTGTGTGCCTTGGAGGGAGTCTCTCATTTGGTATCAGCCATAGATTGAGAAACTGCCCGGACAACTTAATTTACTTGGCTTTTAAGCCCTCCCCATCCCGCACAATCACATGGCACTCCAGTCTCCAAACGGGTTTCTTATAGGGCTTCCATTGGTGGAAGGAAACCAGAAATTCATCAGAATCAACTTCTTGATTGACATGAACAGGTGGCTAATCCAGGGCACTCCAGCCAGAAATGATTGTTGGCTCCCACAGATCACTCATTATGTGCTTGTTAGAATTTGGCTCTGCCAGTTATGAGAAGTTCAGCTAAGGTAACGACTTCTCAAAGCAGCAACTTACTAAACAGAGGTGAATGATCAACTATGGCCCCCTTTCCTTTCGTTTGAATTGATCCAAATGGGCGAAATAAGTAGTGACTCTGCATACAAATGAGAAGGCAATACTCCAGAATAATTTATTTTGTAAAATAATTGCCATCAATAGATGATACAATACTTGGTTGGTGAGCAAATTGTTAGATTAAGACTATGTAGGGCCTATATTTTCAAGGCCAAAGCTTGAGACTGAAGGATGTCCCTTGTGATGTAATGCGGGTAAGCCCCTTGGTGATGTCATTAAGCACGAAATATTAAGCACTGACCATAGTTGCACTGAGTTTACATTTATTTTTTTTAAAACCAAGTCTAAGAAATAAGGAAAATAGATACATCCCTCCCTTTCTGAAGAACAGAGACTGGGCAGGATCCTGAAATCTGCAGATTCTACTGGTAAACGTCTATTGAAACAGCTTTGTCAAATCAAGCTTAGTATAGTTGCTAAATTCATGTTGCTCAGGTTGTGGTGGTGACTAGGTGGGCTTTCGCACAATTAAAAGTTGTGCAACATTTGCACCTGTACCTTGGGAAATCAGACTTGGCCACAGTGGTCCATGCTCTCCTTACATCCAGGATATACTACTACAGGATCTACTGTGTGGGGTTGCCTTTGAAGACTGTTCAGAAGCTTCAAATAGTCCAACGAGAGGCAGCCAGGTTAATAACTGAGGTGGCATACAGGGAGCACACAGCTCCCATGTTGTGTCAGCTCCACTTGGTATCTGTTTGCTACCGAGCATAATTCAAAATGCTGGCTTTGGCCTATAAAGTCCTAAATGGCCCTGGCCTAGTTTGCCTGTCCGAATGCATCTCCCTTTACGAATGACTGCGAAGACAAAGATCTTCTGGGGAGGCCCTGCTCTTGGTCCCACCATGGTCACAGGCATGTTTGTTGGGGACAAGAGAGAGGGCCTTCTCAGTGATTCCCACCCCCTACCCCACCAGCTGTGGAACTCTCTTCCTGGTGATATTAGATCAGCCCCCTCCCTCCTGTCTTTCCAAAAGATGGTAAAGACCTGGCGGTATGGCCAAGCCCTTGGGGCAGTACAATGAGGCAATAATAGGAAACCTACTCCGCTGACCAGAACCAGCATGGTGTTTTGAGATGGTTTTAAACAGCTGATTTTAAAGTAGATATAACTGATTTTAATGTTGCCGTATATATGTTATGCTCTGTCCTGAGTTCCCTTTGGGGTGAGAAGGGCAGAAAATAAATGTTCCAAATAAATAAATAAAATTTGAGCTGATCTCGGTTGTATCAAAATGCAGAATACAGCTATTGACAATATTCAAATGCAAGCTGTAAGAGAAATGTTTATCATTTGACCACGTGTTGAATCAGATGTAAGCCAAGTACACAAAAACAGGGCTTGATATATTCACAAGGTATCTTCCCTAAAGGCAAAGTAACAAAACTATAGTTACGAACATTACTTCAGATCTTGGAAAAGTTGCATTACACTTTCCAAAATTCCACATTTAGCATGGACAGGGGCAATGCGGGGGGAGGGGGGGTGGATACTGTCCATTAAAATACATGATAATACATGCTTACTCACCACTAGAAAGAAATTGAAAACATTCTTCCCTTAAATGATAAAAATACATCTTGCCTGTTTCTGCTTGTCCACAGGGTTGAGAACATTCTTATAGTGGTTTGATTTTAAACAAACCAACATAAGCTTTGTCCTCCAAGTAACCCATTTCTGATGCAAATCATTTCAGAACATTAAACTTATTTGGAGCTGGTAAAGAAAGGAATTGTTAGGGCTTACCTAGGTATCACCGATGTCCTGCTTCGTTTAGAAAGAAAGCCGCTGTTTAGTTCAGGATTGGAATAGTGACCTCATGCTCCAAGTAAGTAAGCAAGCAAGCAAGCAAGCAGCTGCCTCATGAGGAATGGTAAGTGATACGAATATGAATGACCCCATTCTCTGTCCCTCTGCTGCTGCAATCGCTGCTATTTGTGTCCTTTATAACAGGGGCTCCCAAATCAGCAGCAGCAACCCAGCAAATCGGTTTTCTCCAAACAGCTCAAGTTTACAAATGAGCACCAATGTTTGGAGCTACAGCCAAGCCCTTTCTTTCCAGGATTTCTTAGAAATGCATAATGTTAGCTTGAAAATAAAGGAAACTGTCTAGCCAGTTGTTCCTGACATTTCTTCCTAAATTCCTAGAATTTTTCATTATGACCTTTGATACTAAAATCCTGAAGTGGTTGCAATGGGATATTTTACACAGGATGTTGATTTAAAACAAACTATTTTAAAAGAAGAATAAGTGGAATAACTCTAAAGCTAAGCATGAGACAAAGCAGGAAAAGCATCCATTCATGAGTCACTCATTCAGAGCCAACTCACCAAGGCGGATGAAGAGGCAAGTTTCATGACATAGTAAGTCAGAGTTCACTTGGTATTATTGTGTAGGAAAGTGAATGGCCTGACTCCAAAGGCATGGTATGAAAATTTCCTTAAAAACAATGGGATTTAGGGTGCAATCATATATAAGAGTTTCCTCACAATGTAATTTCTTTCTGAGGACTCATCTACACAGTCTTAAAACCCATGTTTTTTCCAGATTAGCCTGAGGGTATTCAGAACCAACAAAATCTAAAGGGAGGTTTTCCCACTGTATTCTTGGAGTATCCCATCAGTTCTGATATCATTTGTCAATATTTCTCTTCAGCTATATATGAAGGGTACCAATAAACGTGTAGCTACAATGAGTCTGTCACAGTACACAGAAATGTCTCTCAGGCTGGATCTACACAGCCATATAATCCAGTTTCAGAATGCAGATTAACTGCATTGAACTGGATTGTATGAGTCTACACTTCCATATAATCCAGTTCAATGCAATTCATCCACATTTTGAAACTGGATTACTTGGCAGTGCAGATCCAGCTTCAGGTGCAAGAAACTATATAGATTTTTTAAAAGATAACTTTAACATTTGTTAGGCTGGGATGCTGGAGATGTCATCTGTTTTTGCCAATATGACTGATACACAGGAATCCTCTGAACAAATCCACCCCACACCCCAGGATTCACAATAGGTTTGACTGGTGTTACCATAAGTCGGAAATTATTTTAAGCCACTCAGCAACAGCCACAGTTAAAGTGAAATTGCTATGGACTAATTAAATATGGACTAATCTCATTTGCCAAATGCAAACAAAAAGTGTCAATCATACCACCAAATCACTGTATGACTAACATCAGTCTGAGTTGGATCTGAAAATAGAATATAAGTTTCTACAGAGATGGTAAACCTGGGTAAAGAACTCCACATCTATGCCTACTTTCCTATCACCTTAAGGCCTCCTTCAGGCTGAAGTCAAACAGTCAGGAGTGGCCTTAGCTACAGGTTCCTAATATTTTCTTCATGTGTACTATACCCATGGATATCAAAGGAACAGTAATGTTGGAGTGTGAGGGAGGAGATGTGGCAGCCTCAAGCCTCCCAAATCAGACATTAAATCTGAACCACATAGTCCCAGAAATCAACAGATGGAACACGTTTATTATCAATTAGAAGTCAAGCCCTTTCTCTCCTATCACTCTGCGTTTATCCATGGCCCAGTTGAAACTTTTTAATGGGGAGTTTTAACTTGGGACTTCATCAAATCGGGCTCCAGCTCCTCCTAGGACATTTCCAGGACAGAGCCAGGATGGAGTCTGCTGGAGCCCGTCACATGATGCAGGGCTACTTCCAACAGGGCTCTATCTTGGAAGCTTCCTAAAATGGAGCCCTAAGAATGGGGACAGCGTGTGTGTGGGGGTAATTCCCATGTGATAGGGAAAGCGGCAATGTGGGGTGCAAGGCAATGATATCTCCCACTGTCCCATGGATTTGCCATAATGACCAGTGAATCTCCCCACTGTCACTTATGTTACAGACCTCCATGTGATCATCTTAAACGAGGTTGTGTTTCAGACTGTCAGGCAGGAAAAGAGGTTGTGATAAGATGATGCAGTTGAGGCAGAGCAGTGACTTGCGACCTCTTCACATGGCCCTTTTGGGCCATGCCGCTGCCCTGAGTGCCCTTCCTCCTTCCCTCATCACATGATAGGGACGGGACAGGGTGCGTAGGCACCCTTTCCTTCCCCCCATCAGATGGCAGAAAGGGTGGTACTTTCATCCCCCTTTTGCCATCACATGGCAAAAAGGGGAGGCAAGTACAGGTAGTTCTACCAGAGTTACCCAAACAACCCTTTCCTCCCCGAGTTGGAAGAGAAAGTGCCTTTTGGTGCTTCTCCTTCACTTTGGGAGGAATATGAACAAGGTCTGCTGTGTGTCATGTGATGACGCACAACAGGCCCCATCCAAGCCGCACATAAAAGCAGCAAAATGGGGTAAACATACCCTGTGTGAAGAGGTCCCTAGTCAATCAAATCACCTTTATCAAACTGATAAATCATTTATATGTGCCAAAGGTTCCTCTTCCCTGTTTGTGCAAGACTGATGAACATTTGCTCATTATATTTCTAGCTCTTTTTCTGCCTTTTCTGCACTTACACACTCTAGTTAACATATTTCAAGGCATTTAGCTTTGAAAAGGGATCTTGTAGCACCTTTTAGACTGGGATCCCATAACTGACCATATAATGGAACTGCATAGACCAGGCATGGGCAAACTTTCTAACTTGGGGGCTGCATGCTACCACTCACTGTTAGGAGGACTAGCTTCCCAGTGATAGAAGGCAGCAAGGGAAGGAGGAAGTAAAGAGAGAAGGAAGGAAGGATGAAAGGGAGGAAGGGAAGGATGAAAGTAGAAAGAGGGAAGGAAGGAAGGAAGGAAGGAAGGAAGGAAGGAAGGAAGGAAGGAAGGAAGGAAGGAAGGAAGGAAGGAAGGAAGGGAGGGAGGGATGGTTGAGAGAGGAGGGTATGAGAAAAGAGCCCAAGGGGTTGCATCTGGCTCATGGGCCTAGATTTGACCATACAAGGTGTATAGACTATAATAATGCAATCCAACTTATTGAACTACATCAAACATTACACTGAAATGAGTTTCAAACTGCCTTAATATGTCACTGCAGATGGGGCCCAAGAGAAAGAAGTTGGTATGATGATGCATCTGATGAAATAAACCTAAGTCTATGAAAACTTATGCTGCCAACTTTGTTCTCTCATTTAGCCACAAGGGTGCTTGTAAGATAGTTTTGCATATTAATATTTCAGGCTGATACAGCTATGCCTTTTAAAACCAACAAGTTTATTAACACAATATCTACAATTAAGGTGGACATTAATTTTCTGGATCCTCCCCCTCAGTTTGCCAGGACAAAAATCAACCTTTTTGTGGTGGCATGTAATGATGTGCAATACTCACTGTACTTCATTCCTAAGAATGTGATGCATTACAGAGACCATAGACAGAAAACATGACAATAAAAGGGATTAATACAGTTAGAGGTAGCAATACCATTTGTTATCAGTCTGCACACAGGACAGAGATCAATTCTGATTGTGCAAAATTGATGGCCCTTTCCTCTCCTCTTTGATGGTCTATCTGCCTTTACTTCTTCTGCAAGATCCTGAGGTGGTTCCAACATCCTCTAGCATGAGCCAGATACCAGGAAAGGAGGCATAACTATTTGTTGTGTCTAACCTTTTAAAAAGGTCTCATGAAATAATAATAAAAAAGACTTACCAAGACTCACTAGTTAGATGTCCCCTGTTGCTGAAGAGTGTGTTGAAGGACTGGAGTGAAGCAAAGTACAGGCAGCCCAAAAACCTGAAAACAGCCTCGTCAGTTGTGGGCAGCAGCTTAAGAAGTTAATGAGTGTAAGAGAACTATGAGGCAGACAAAACAAGGAGGCCAGGGTCAAGGAATGAATTTGTATTCCTAAAGTTAAAGCGCAGCTGGAAGGAGCTTACTGAGCACAGCGAAGCCATGGGGATGTGATCCAGGCTGGTCAGGACTGCCTTGTTTTTTCCTCCATCTGTCTGCCAGGTTTTTTTCTTCCTCTGGAGTGCTTGTTATTCCCTTTTCTCCAACCATGACTGTCTTGTATCTTGCACATGAATTCCAGCAGCTTGGTCTGTCATAATTCCACATGAACCAGAGTCAGGAAGAATCAGAGAGATGGCTAGAGATTTTTTTTTCCAGACACATTTGTATAATTTCGGTACTTCCTGTTGCTGCAAGTCAAGATAACAAGAGTACAGGTGCCCTCAAACATAATGTGTGTATATACACTGTAGAATTAATGCAGTTTAATGCCACTTTCACTGCCATGACTCAATGCTAAGTTGGAAGTTGTAGTTTGGTGAGGTACCAGCACTTTGACAGAGATCGCTAGAGACCTCACCAAACTACAATTCTTATAATTCTAGCACTCAAACCTGTGAAACAAGTAACACATCTGGGAAAAAACCCAAATGAAAATAAATGTTTTTGCATTACTATGGTGTGAAGTGGATTAAACTGCTGAAATTGCTGACAAAAAGGTTGGCAGTTTGAATTTGAGGAGTGGGGTGAGCTCCCGCTGTTAAGCCCAGCTTCTGCCAACTTAGCAGTTTGAAAACATGCAAATGTGTGTATATCAATAGGTACAATTTCTGTGGGAAGGTAATGGCGCTCCATGCAGTTATGCTGGCCATATGATCTTGGAGGTGTCTATGCACAATGCCAGCTCTTTGGCTTAGAAATTGATACGAGCACCATCCTCCAGCATTGGACATGACCTTTACCTTTACTATGGTGTGAAGATCTCAAATAATTTTGAATTCTAGTATTTTGAGGGACTTTGCTCAAGTTTATAATCAAATTTATAATTTTCTTCCTTGTATTGTAAATATTTGAGACAAATGCTAACTTCAGTAGACTGCAGACAGTAGAACGTAATCCAAAAATATTCCTCCACATTTGCTCTTTTTATTTATCAATTGCAAAACAATAATTTGAGAGGCCTTATTATTGAAGCTATACCCAGTTGGTGGGAATTCTATTCCTCCAGAATTACAGTCATAGCAGTGTTATTTTAAACCAGCAATAAATGTGAGAATGACAGAAAGTCACATGACACTGCATTGGTCCTGACTGTGTTGGAGGTTTTGTGCTTAAAATTAAAGTTCCACAGAACTCTTCTAAACCTATGGACACAAGCAGGAAAAGAAATCACGTATTCAGAGCTGTACAACACCAAGGTGGAAGTGGAGGGGCAGATGGTGCCACCTTCCTCTATGCTGCGAAGTCCAAAGCCAACCAAGTTTTTTTGGGCAGGAGGCGAAAAAAAATTGCACAAGCAACCTCTCCCTCATCTTTGGCTGTCAAACAACAAATTAAAGAAGTAACCATTTCTTGCCCTTTCAGCATTCTCCCAATCTGCTGCCTGTGGCAACTGTTACAGCCAACTCCTTCTCCACATATCTATTCATAGCTGTTATGCAATCTTGCTCAAAGAAGAAAAACAAAAATAAATGATTCCAGGAGCTGTCACTTGCTAGTTGAAGAGCTATGCTTAGGAATATCCCTGCATGCCATTTTGTAAATTAGGTACCATCCTTTGGGTTTCCAGTGCCTGGTCCTGAGCATCAGTGCCTGGCCCATCTAGTTTCAGAGATAGGGGAGGAATCTCAGGCAAGAGCGCTGTCATGAAAAGTCTCTCTCTGTCTCTCTCCCACCCCTTGTATTTATTCATCTTTTAGGCTTTATAGTTCTCGTTGAAGGGCACACTCTCTGCTGCTGTGGTTAAGGTATCTTAATGACATCATCAGGTGCAGCCGCACATAACATGTCACCTGCAACAACATTGAAGTCATTTTCACACTACGGAATTATAATATTGCGATTTTATGTTGGTTGCGATAATCCTGCAGTGTGGCCTTTGGTAGGGCACTAGAGCTCTCTTGAGATAGCTAAATATTCTTAAACTACAAATTACAGGATGTTGCCCTGGCAGTTAAAGTGAACTCATAGCACTCTGTACAATTTGAAAGGATCCTGGGTTTATTTCCTGTGATATGCGCAGGACTTAGAATTTGGCCCTAAGCTCTTAGGTTTTGGGGTAGCCCAGACCTGTTTTTTTCCATGTCAGGAGTGACTTCAGAAACTGCAAGTCACTTCTGGTGTGAGAGAATTGGCTGTGTGCCCAATGGGACGTCTGGATGTTTGACGTTTTTACCATCCTTGTGGGAGGCTTCTCTCATGCCCCCACGTTGGGAAGCTGGGGCTAACAAAGGGAGTTCAACCTGCTCTCCCTGGATTCAAACTGCTGACCTGTCAGTCAGCAGTCCTGCCAGAACAAGGCTTTAACCCATTGTGCCACCGGGGGCTGCTGCCTTGACCTGTTGACCCTTAGCTATGCTTGAAGATTCTGGAAACTGTAGTCCAAAAAAGAGGCACTCAGTGTCTCTGCCAAATACGAAGCCTTTCAATAGCCTCTTCAAAGACAGCTATAGCTACCTGCAACTGGACATATAGCCTTTCAATAGCCTCTTCAAAGACAGCTATAGCTACCTGCAACTGGACTCACCTGCAACTGGACATTTCAGTAGAATGCCTTCAAGTCATTTCCAACATATGGCAAGCCAGAGGCTAACCTATCATGGGGTTTTATTTTGGCAAGATTTGTTGTCTTCTTCTGAGAATGAGAAAGGGAAAGACAATTTCCCCCTTATAGTTGCTAGAAGTCAGAAATGTCTCTTACACCTCCTCCTCCTCATTAGATGGCTTCTACAATATCTTTTTAAACAGTGCCCATTTTTCAAAACCAATGAGCAGATTTTGATCTACTTTTAGTTTGTCTGGTCTCTTTCAACATTGCCATGCAATATTTCACAGATAAAACTTTCCACGCAGCCTCTGGAGGTGCTAGTAGGAAAAACTGTCACCATCAAATCCATATCGGTTGCCCATGCATTGCTCTACTTAGTGTTGTTCTGGGGAAAGATTGTAAAAATGGTGGGGAAAGTTTGTAAACTGGTGTTCTGTTTCTAAAAGTTTGTAAACTGGTGTTCTGTATATTCGATTTTAGTATGACGATGATCACTGTAGTTTTAAATATATGCGCTTTTTAAATGTTTTATTGTAATGTGTATTTTGATATTTTACCGATTGTGTGTGTTTTTATGGTTGGAAACCGGGCTGAGTCCCTCTTATGAGGTGAGAAGCTCGGTATATAAAACTTTGAAATAAATAAATAAAATAAATTTCTGGTGAAGACAGAAAAAGCAAAACCTCATAAAGCTTCTCAAAAAAAGATCTCCCAGGAAATTCTGGTGCTGCGCTTTTTCATTCTTTTGATTCAGTACTTTCCCCCCAAGGTTTTCTGAATATTACTGTGTGGAAGGGCCAATGCTTATACCTTTTCTCAAATGGAAGATGCTTATATTTATAGCTTTCTCATTGTAAATTCAGTGGCGACAATAAATGAAGGGACCGTTTTGATGTGCTCCAGAACAAAGCAGGAGAAGGTGTGGTGCTAAAATTTATCCTAGTTTCTCAAATGTTTTGATTTTCCATGAAATAAAATTCTTGTTTTCCTGTCTCATTCTTTAGATTATTTTTTCTCTTCATGAGAGTTTGGAGTTGACCATAAAATTGCAAAGTGGCTGAGGATGTTACATTGGTTTCTTTTTTTCTATTTCACATCTCATTTCTTTATTATCTGGCTTTTTTCAAAAGTTGAAGTTAGAAAATATTAACAGGAAAAAACAGTTTTACATACACAGAATGCATGTCCTTAATTCTGCTGTTCATCCTCACTGGAGTAGACTCATTTAATCTATGGGACTTAGATTAATTGATTCACAGTTCAACAATTGAATGAATGGGTTTATTGTCATTAGGTTAACCAACAGTATATCAGCCTATATCCATGCAGACACACACACAAAAATACCTATAAAAATATTTTTTCTCCACATTTTACATCTTTCCTGGTTAGTCAAATTGCAGGAAAAGAGATTCAACATAAAAAATTACGAACTTTCTAATGATAAGAGCTGTTCAACAGGGGAATACACTGCCTCTGAGTGTGGGGGACTTTCTGTCTCTGGAAGTTTTAAAGCAGATTTGATGGCCATCTGTTTGGAGAGTTTTGATTGTGAGTTTCTGCATGGCAGATTGGGTGGCCCTTGTGACCTCTTCCAACATAATCATTCTATTTCAGTCAACAAACCTTCAGCGCTTTGAAGTTCCCTTTAGGGATTACATCACCCATTTTTTCAACTGGTTTGGGCACTGAACATGTGAGCTGACAAATTCTGGGAGATATAAGAATAATAATCTGCACACATTATTCGTCGATACATCAGACAGTCCTAGACACCTGGGAAGTGTCCAACGTGTGATCCAATACAATAGCCAGCAGAATGATCTTCTCTGCTGTGGACTCATATTGTTGTGTTTCAAATAACAACAACAATAACAACAAAAGGGAGTTTCCTCCAAATACAGAAAGAATTTTGTATGGTAATGCTGGTCTTCAAATAAATTTTGAGTAGAGTCCCAGCAAATGCTGACAGTAGATTTACAAACAATACAATTAATCCCACATCTTAACACCAGTGTATGGGTTGTGTGTACAACCCATGCTGTGTGCCAGCAGTTCCAAGAATCAATTGATAAAATTAGGTTTGCTCAACAACATGAAAGCAAAACACACAAACAAAACAAACAAGTTTTCCTGACATGCAAGCACCACAGTTCAGTCCTCATTAGGTGAAAGAAGGCAAACATAATTGGCTTAATTCAGTTCATCCGTTGATTCTGACTTTTCTGCTCCAGAAGATTTTCTATATGAGACTTTTCAGGTTCTAGGAGGTCATGCAAAACCACATTGTCTCTAAGGGTCCTTTCACACAGCCATATAAACCAGAATATCATGGCAGAAAATCCCACAATATCTGCTTTGAACTGGGTTATCTGAGTCCACCTGCGCTGCTACAGTTCAAAGCAAATAATGTGGGATATTCTGCCTTGATATTCTGGGATATAGGACCATGTGGAAGGGTCCTGAGTTATCTGAGTCCACATTGCAATATATCCCAGTTCAAAGCAGATAATGTGGGATTTTATTCCGCTGTGTGGAAGAGGCCTAAGTCAGATAATGCTTTTGATTTGTTTAGCAATAAAGCAGTTTACTGTAGGTCATAAAAAGCATTATAAATCATGTAGATCTCTCTGCTCCACTGGTAAGACTTGATCAGGTTGACTTTGGGCTCTTCCACTCATCCATATAACCCAGAATATCAAGGCACATAATCCACAATATCTTCTTTGAACTGGGTTTTCTGAGTCCATACTGTCATATAACCCAGTTGAAAGCAGATGATGTGGGATTTTATATAGCTGGGTGGAAAAGGGCCCCTTATCACACATGCAGCTGTTTTGTCAATTTGTCAATTTGTTCCAGTACGATTTTGATGCTTAAAATAAAGCCATTATTCAGAAAATTAATTAGTCTCTCCTGTTATTCAGAAACGAAATCCTACATTATTTGTACATATTGCAATCGTGAATACGACAGTCAGGTTTCTGTCTTTCCACATGGAGAAGTGTGTTGCTTGAGCAAAGGACAGATATAGACTGCAGTCTTCCACTTCTGCCCTCTTTTTGAGACGACTTTTTTCTTCTTTTGATAATAAACAGAAAACTGCAAAGGAATGCAAGGCACCCCTGATCTATTAATATTTCCATGTGATGCCAAAATTTATTTATGGCATTATTCTTTATACATCAACAGATTCCCTTTTTGGGTTTCTCTTAGCATTTTCAACTTTGAAATCCTCAACTGCTAATTTGAATCCTTTCCCTGCCCTCTGATTTAGGATTTGCACTCAAGTTTGAATGTAACCAGAGGCGGCCCTAGGTAATTTTCAATGGTAAGCAAACAGTATATTGGAGCCCCCCCCCCAACCAATCACTGATATATGTTTTCTGTTCATCGTGGGAGTTCTGTGTGCCATATTTGGTTCAATTCCAACATTGGTGGAGTTCGGTATGCTCTTTGATTGTAGGTGAACTATACATCCCAGTAACTTCAACTCGCATATGTCAAGGTCTATTTCCCCCCAAGAGCGCCTCAAGAGTGCCCCTGGGCAAAATCAACTATACTGCAAATGCTTACTTTGCATAATGGGTTGAGCCACCCCTGAATGTAACAGTACGCCTTCTTCTTTGAGCAACTATGCTAAAGAAGTTACTGAATCATAGCTTGTCGGACTGTCCTTTTCCGAAAGATCAGCACTGTGGTTTCCCCTTAGAATGAAATACAAGCAACTTACACAATTTCTAACCTTTTCTTGTTGTTTTTTTAAAAAGTAAGATAGTAGTGGTTTTGAAACTGTGTACTAGAAAACCATGGGGGTCATTAATGACAGACAGAGCTCTTAGAAACACACTTTGCCCGCCTTTTCTGATCTTCTACTGTGCTTTCCAGCCAGAGATCACTATAAGATGTATTCTAAAATGTGAGTTTTTTAGATCTGGTCAGCCCTCTCCACTATAAAGTGGGCCCTCAGTATATGCTGGGGATTGGTTCCACCCCCCCCCCCACCTCCTCCAACGCAAATACAAAATCCCTGGATGCTGAAGTCCCATTATATACAACAGTGGAGCCAAATGGTGTGTCCCTTATGTAAAATGGAAAAATCATGATTTGAGTTTGGGAATGAGGGAGACTGGGGAGAATATTTTCAAATCATGTTTGGCTGAATCCGTGGATACAGAATCTATTGCTATGGAGGGCTGACAGTATATCAAATCCAATTACACTATGTAACATGATTTTTGCTCTTGAGTTATAAATGTTATTTCCTAATTGGTTCTATCATAAAAACATGGAAAAGTTATTAACTTTGTTTTTGTGGGACATGCTGCAGCACATTTTGCTATAGTTTTTCAATGAACTTCTTATGGAGTATCAACCAATTCCACATAGTTTGTGACAGCCATAAAAACAAAGGTTCTGGAGCACAACAACTACTTTCAAAGTAAATAACACACAATTAAAGAGGAAACAACACTTTCATACAAGGAACAAAACATTTTTCAAACTTCGTTACATAGTGTTAATTCATGTCTCATAACACAAAGCTCTGCTAGAGCAGATAGGCAGTGTTCCCCCATGGCAGACAACACTGTTTTTAAAAATCCCACCAATATATGAAACCAGAGGTTGGAATACATGTTGGAACCAGAGTTCCCAGAATCCCACAGGGAGCCATGTTGGCTAGGGGATTCTGGAAGTTGCCCAAAATTGAAACTGAAATGGAGTTACTGTTTGGATAGTGTGGATTCCACTGGGTGACATTGTCACGGTGAGTGACACCAAAATGACCATAAAATTGATGTGAGGTGCTTCAGCAGAAAATTATTCTTTTTTAGTAAAAAATCTCATCAGATACAATTGCAAACACATTTTTCATAGTCCAGATTATGTGTATGGTAACAACATAACCAGGAGGCTAAAATTTGATGCCAATTTAGTTTTTGAATCTTCTAATGGGCATCCACTCCGGTTAGAGCTCTCATGATTATTCATGAAGCACATGGTTTCATCTGCAAATACTACAAGAATGCACTGTTGTTTCCGTTGCTGAAAATTTTGTCAACATTTATTGCATTTTAGCTACAATATTGTGATATAGTCTGGTATGGCAGGAAGTCCATGGAGTTGATACCATGAGTTATTTCACTGGGTGACACAACCCTAGCGACATCACTGACTGTCTCAAGAATGACACTAAACCAATTGTGTTGTTCTTCTAAAATAGCGGTTCTCAACCCGTAGGTCCCCAGGTGTTGTGGCCTACAACCCCCAGAAATCCTAGTCAGTTTACCAGCCAGTTTACGACCCACAGGTTGAGAACCACTGTTCTAAAAGATAATTTTCACTCTTGAGAAAATGTGCATAATCACGGTAAAGCTATGCATATTTTCCATTAAGTTTTGTATTTTTTCCCTGCATTCACAATATTCACAAAACACATCTGCATATGGTGATGAAACTTCAAGTGTGTGGTCAAACAATTTCTATATGTGTGTGTGTATTTTAAAATGACAAAAGGAGTCAAATAATACTTTCACTTACCAGGCCCCATTTCCCCTGAACACTTTAGTTGAGAATGCTGCAGCAGCAACATAGGGATATTTCAGAACCAGGAACTCAACTTTTAAGGAAAAAATGGCAAGTATTATCAATTCAAAGATGTTGGTCTGTACAAAGCAGGTATATTTGGATAAGGTTGGAGTCCCAGCTGTCTATTGTCTTTCAGTTTCTGCACTATGATTCTGGCAACCTCTTCTCCTTGGCTGTCAGTAGTATCAAGCAGCTGCCTGACTTTTGAGGTCCTTGTAGGCTTGGTGCTGATAAGTTCGTAATCTTCTTTCATGATTAAATCCCTTGCAAGGAGGGCATCCAAAGACTGGTTGAGGCAAGCTTCAGTCATCTGGTTGACTATTTCCTCCCGTTTATTTTGAATCCACTGGTGAGCTATGGCAAAGTCATTTTTTTGCACCGTCCTTAGTGTGAAATCTGAGAAACATAATAAAAAACAATTCTGAAAGTAAATAAAAAGAGAAAAACAACCTGTCCTATATGTTTTTATGTGAAATATTGTGTATTATGTTTTTTACGGTTTTAATTGTATACTGTGTACTGTATATTCTGTTGTAAACCGCGTTGAGTCGCCAGTTAGGCTGAGAAACGGCGGTATACAAGGACAGTAAATAATAAATAAATAAATAAATAAATGTTTTCTGTTGCCCTGGAGACTAGGATGTGGAACAATGGCTTCAAACTACAGGAATTGAGATTCCACCTGAACATTAGGAAGAACTTCCTAACTGTGAGAGATGTTCAGCAGTGGAACTCTCTGCCCAGAGTGTGATTTTCCTGCTTTTTTGCATTCTTATGTTTCCCCATAACTTATACATTACTGAATTAAATTGAAAACATGGAACAGTGTGCTGTATTAAAATATCCTGTTAATAAACACCCAAACTCATCATTATGTGTGGGATGCAACGATCCCACCTGTGTACCTGAATTGTTTCCTGGTGATTGCAGCAGGTGTGGCATAGAATTGGATGAATTGGAGCTGCTTGCATTGGAAGAAGAAGAGCTCTGTAAGGACATGTTGGGAGGAGTGTTCTGGCGCAGTGGAAAAAGGCTCAGCAGTGTGCGTGGTTCACCTGAAGCATCATCACTGCCTTTGATGAAGAAGAAAATGTGTTTTTAATTTAATTTTACAGTAAGCAAAAAACAAGCACAGAACCAGCATCAAATCAATTTGCCATTTTGCATCTATCACCATGGATCCAAAGAACTATTTGGTTGTACAGTCAGCCCTCCACATTTGTGGGTTTCAGTTTTGCAAATTTGATTATTTATGGATTTGATAAAAATGCTGTCTTTAGGTCCTCCTAGGTAGTGCTCTAGATGTTGCTGAACTGTCAGTTTTCTTCACTATGGGCTTTGCTGTCTGAGGGCTGCTGAGAGTTGCAATCTAACACCTTTGGGAAGACTGCATGTTTCTCACTGCTGAGAGGCAGCTGACTATTAGGAAAAAACAAGTTCAGATGCTATGAAATAGCTGAAAAGGAAAATGATGGGAAAAGCCACCTGTTTAAAATAATTATCAGTGCTTCTGTGAAGAGTTAGAAGAGACCATAAGGGCCATCCAGTCCAACCCCTCCCATCATAGCACACAGAGATTGTTCTTATTTAGGTGTTTTATAGGCCAAAGATATCCCATGACTGGCATTTAACTCCCAATTCAAAGTATTTTCATTCTTTAGAAAAGGGTGAAAAATGTAAAGGATTCTCAGTACTTCAAAATATCCAGTCATGACCAGAAATGTATGGAAAGGTAGAAGGCAACCTCCCCTGCTCCCATGTTCCCCCCGGTGAGTACTAGAGATTTCATTTGAAAATGCTGGGATCTGTCCTGTCATGGGATCTGCCTGGGATTTGCCAGGCAAACTGCCATGTCTATACATAGTTGGGGCAAAAAATCACACAGACATTTTTTCTTTCTTTTTTAAAAAACATTTCAGAGAACTGCAAAAGTGAGGCTCGTTCAAACAAAGTCGCATTTCAGAGCTTTAGTGTTGCAAAAATTAACTATTCTTGCTCCTTTTACTTAAGGACAGTCTAGATCTTTTTAGAAATAATTTGACAAGAATTTAAACTTTGTGTCTTTGTCTTGCCATTTTTAAACTTTTTAAAGCACTGAAAAATAACAAAAAAGCCAGGACATGTTACTTTTTAATGTTGCAATGAAAAATGGCAGTGAATTGCTTTACAAGCTCCGCAACACTAAGAAGTGTTTTGAGGGGAAGAGAGGGCACTATGCCTTGTTTTCCATGCTATTTCACTAGTATGTATGCTAGCCCAGGTTCTGTGGCTAATAACGCCCCTGATTTCCTCTCTACTTCACTGAGTAGAATAGAAAAAGAGTTAAGTAACATTAACATATAGAACAAATTCCAATCTTGTTTGTTCAGAGGTGGAAAGACAGGATAAACCTGCTGCATTATCACAAGCCCTAAAGCTTTCCGCTTAGAACTCCTACTCCTCGTTCAACCAGTCTGAGTCCCTTTGGTTTGTGCTTGCACACATCTCTGCAGAATAATGACATAATGGTCTGATGTGCTATACATGGCCCGCTGTATACCTATTAATCACCGAGTGAATCATATGCACCAAGTATTATCAAATGTCTGCTTTCATAGTTTGAACAACCAGCCCAATATATTCTTCTCATTCATGTTGGTTCAAACCCTGCTATTAACATTTATTTAAAAGAAAAGTACTACTTAGGGCCCTTCTACACAGCTACATAACCCAGAATATCAAGGCAGATAATCCACAATATTTGTTTTGAACTGGGTTATCTCAGTCCACACTGCTATATAATCCAGTTCAATGTGGATTTTATACAGCTGTGTGGAAGGGGTCATAGTTTCACTGATGAGGAACAAGTGCCCCTCCAGATCTTCTTGGAGTGCAATTCCAACCTTCACCATTGGCTATGCTGTTTAGAATGATAGGAGTTGGAATCCAACAACATCTGCTCTATGTCTAAAATGAAGTTGCGACTTTATTCATACCAATCATTACTCAAACCTGTACTAGTTCTGAAATGCATACCATCTGAGAGGACATTGCACTGTTTCGATGTATCTGAGAGAACACTTGGTTGATGAAATCTGTTGCTCTGGGATCTCAAGCCACAGGCTTCCTGGAACAAAATACAGTCACATAGGGAACAGATGGAATCAATGCCATTTTCATCACTTGCCCCCTTCCCCACAAAACTTTCTTTCTGCGCCTAGAAGCAAGTTATGAGAACCCTCAATGGGACATGGATATAGAGGAGAATGAGGTATGAACCTCCTGGTTCAGCAAAAATTATCCATTGAAAATTGTACTTTTGGAAGCAACAGTCAACATTCAGAACTAGAGAAAACTTCTGTCTAAAGCCTCGATGTAGTGCAGCTCATTAGTGTAAGCTAGATGGGTCTCATTTATAACTTTCTATATTCCTACTCATGCTATTTTCTTTTCTTTTATCTGTTTTTTAAAAGTGTCTTGTAAGGGGGAGGGGGGAGACCAAAACTAGAATAAAGTGCTTTTCATGTATAAATTTCCTTCTATAAATATTTTTCTTTTTAAAAGCCAGGTACTCAAAACATTATTCCTTAACATATCTGCCCAGATTTCGGTCACTATTTTCAGTCAAACATATTGTCAAGTAAGTACACTGAAAATGACAATGCAGGTATTTTACATCAGTCTGTGGAATATTTAAAATATTTATGTATGAAACCAAAACTTCGGTCCAAATCTTCACCCAACTAGAATCAACCCACTAAATGTGTTTTATTTATTTAAAAGTTGACTAGCTGATATAATGGGTCTACTCTAGATAAAGCCCCATATTGCAATACCTTGCAGTAAATGAAATTTAAGAGAGTAGGTTTTTAAAAAGCCAGCATGGGCTCTAAGAGCTGCCAGGTAGACTCTCCTCGCAGTCCTGCCACCGTCACAAGCATGGTTGCTGGGGAGGACAGAGAGGGTCTTCTCGATGGTGGCTTCCTGGCTTTGGAACAGACAGGCCCTACATTGTCCTCCTTTCATAGGGACTTGAAGACATGACTCTTCAAACAAGCCTTTGAGAATGTCTAGTCCTTAGTTGTCCTGTGAAGTAGTTGCATATCCTTGCACTTCATCCCATGCCTTCTCTCCATTACTGCAGCTTGCACTTATTTCATTCCTATTTACAGCTTGGCCATGTTTACAGCAACTTACTGCCTCAGGTTGAGGACTACAGTTTGACTGAGTTTGAGTTGATGCTTTATCTGCACATGTGTTTTATTTTATTATATTTTATAGTGTACTTCATTTTTTTGTTTTGTTTTTAGGCACTTTGTGCCACCTGTAAGCCACCCCGAGTCTCTTCGGGGAGATGGTGGTGGGATATAAAAATTAAGTTGTTGTTGTTATTGTTTACTTATACATTGACATGAACTGGTTTACACTGTGATTCTCCCTATATATACCAATATTGCTGGTGTAACTTGTTACACTTCATTTTAGGCTTATGTATGGTCCCATTATTTGAAAAGCGAGTACTAATTATTCCACAGGAACAAAAAGCCATGAACTCTCTAATGAGTGGGCAACCTTTGGGTATCCAATCTTCACCTGGAAGGCATGTATGAAATCACATCTTTCTTCTCTCTTGCATGAATGAAATCGCATCTCTCTACTCCACCCAAATGACTCACAGCTCCACAAGTGCTTGTATATGATTTATTGGCCCCCAAATCTAACTTCCTTACATGACTTCCTTACATCACAGGCAGAATGTATACCATTATTCCCAAGTGAGACTTAAAGATACTAAAAGAATGACTACCTCCAGAAGGCAAGATGTTTTTGCACATGAACTATTTCTAGCAATTTTCTCATTTCCCTTGAAGTCCTAATGCCCTCCAGGGACATTCCAATACAGATTTGCATTCTCTCTGTACCCATAATTATAAATGGTATGAAACAGGACAATGTGTCCATCTAGTTAAGTGCTCTGCCATTGATTGGCAGAGGCTTCCCAGGTGAGTTCTTTTCATGTTGCCTGGACATGGTAGTAATGGATTTTCTGAAACTTTCAGTGCATAAAACATGTGATCAACCAGAATGATATGAGTTGAATGCAATAGGATAACTGAAGGGATAACTATCCTCTTTTATGTGACTTTGATAATATGTGACTTTTAATATCTCAAAATAATGGAAAGGTGGAGACTAATCATCCATTTGAAGTAATTTAGAGTTTTCAAGAAGGTATTATAAAATCTAAGGAAAAACAAATATTGTTGGTGATTACAATGATAAAAACAGCAGGAGCAGAAATTATTACCTCTTGTAGACTAGAATCCAATGGTATATTTAGAGATACCGATTGATCGTTAGATGTGCTGCTCGGGAAGTGAAGGCACCGCCTTTCGTATTCAGACTGAAAGAGATATTTGCAAGATTGTATCCATCAGCATGGAACTATGGTAATAGGGGGACATCCCTACTACACTATTTCTGGCTTCAGTTACTTTGTGAGCATGTTTCACTTTACAGACAGATAATTCCCACCTGGGTATTTTAAATTAGGTAATAATGAATACTTACTTTGGCTTTCTTCAACTGTATCACAGCTTGAAGCATAGGTATCTCATCAAAGGTTCTCAGGATAGGTTCAAGCTCTATTAAGCATTCTAAACAAAGAGAATAGTACATATAATTCTATAGCATGAGATTTCCAACAGGAAAAAATGCTGAATTATGAAACTACATTTATGAAAAGGGCTTAAGCACATGCACTGTAAAGAGCATGGCAAGCACCATGCTAAGCACCATGGATCTGATAATCCCTGGAAAACACTACACTAATTTTTTAAATTTATGAACTGTCTTTCACCCACATGGGATATTAGGGCAATGTAAACAAAGCTATGAATGAACAAACTGCAATAAAAACAACAAACCAAAAAAAATGAACAAACTGACATACAAACACCGGGGATTCACAAACTAAGTTGATTTAATACTGTTCAACCAGTTAACTAGCAACAACAACAACCTATTATTATTATTATTATTATTATTATTATTATTATTATTATTATTAAATAGAACACGAGATTTAAAATATGCCTGGAGAAAAAAATTATAAAAGGAGATGGAACGAAAATATTAGAAAGAATATAAGACAGGAGGAATGGGAAAGAATCTGGAGGGAAAAACTAAAGTACTGCTACGCCATTGACTTGAAAGAAAATTGGATAAAGACAGCACACCGCTGGTATATGACACCGAAAAAAATAGGTAAAGGGAACAGAAACTCCAGTACAGATTGTTGGAAATGCAAGGAAGAAGAAGAGTCATATTTTCATATTTGGTGGACGTGTAAAAGGGCAAAAGAATATTGGAAAGGGGTACAAAAAGAACTACAAGACATTCTAAAAATTAAAATACCATGGAAGGCGGAACTTTTCTTATTGGGGATGCATTACTTAAAAATAGAGAAAAACACAGACAAAATCTTATTTTTAATAACAACTGCAGCAAGGATCTGCTACGCTAGAAGGTGGAAACAAAAGGAAATCCCGGATGAGAATGAAAGATTAACAAAGATTCTAGAAATAAAAAACATGGACAGGCTTACATTCTTAGTATCAAGAAGTAAAGGGATGAATATGAAAGAAACAAACTGGGAAGAAGTGATGGACTACTTTAGACACAGACACAAGAAGATTCTGATCTAATTAAGGAAAAGAAGGAGAGAAGGAAGAGAAGGAGAAAGAAGTTGAGGAGACAAGAGTTCGAAAGGAGGGGAAGAAAGAAGGTTGAGCAGACCTCAAGAAGACCCCAGGAAGTCAACAACATCTATTACTCTAGCTTTTAATAAGGTGGTGGGCTTTATATCTATCTCTCTTCCTCTTTTTTTTAAATTTCTTTCATACACCACAATTTTTCGGGTATTTTCGTTTGCTATCTCACTGTTACACTACAACTCTCATCGTAGCTTCGGCTACACTACCTATTTTCTCTTTTTAAATGTAGATTGGAAAATTTAATAAAGACTATAAAAAATATGCCTGTGAAAAGAGGAATAATTTAGGCATGTGCAGAAAAGGGAATGTAGATCTGGTATGTGTTAACAGCTATATTGTAATAACAGTTATTAATTATTTAATTTATAGGATGCAGAGCACCTGCATATATAAGACAGTCAACCGAGGAGAAGATTGGATCCTGATGTGTCACATTATTAACTGAGCAAAACATAAATGATTAGGTTCCTAATATGTAAAGTCCAGAGGTGTGCATTTTTTTTTGTTTGTCCTAATAATTTGGATTAAATTTGTACTTATGAGGCAATAATATCCGATATGTGAGAATGGCCCATGCCAAAAATGTAAGGATTGAAACTTACCCCATACTTTTTCGTTTTAATTTTGTAAATCTCAGAAGGCTCCCAAAGTCAGTTTCATATTCAGGGCAAGGAAGCAAAGCAAAGCCAAAAAAGCTGCCTTTCCTCTGTAAATTAATGGAGTCTCGGCATTAGGAGTGGGGGAAAAGAGGGAAGAGTGTTTTCTGGGAACAGCACAGAACTCTGGGAAATGTAGTTTGGGAAGGGAGGACTTTATGCCAATTCAAAAGGCCCTGCCCTAAACTACATTTCCCAGAATACATCAGCATCAGAAAGCACCAATCAGAATAGCAGAGAGAGAGATTTATCCTTCCCTGACAGCAGCCAGCCACAGCCACTTCCAATAAATGTTGACTCTGCAAAGAGGAGGATCGACTGATACTTCTCTAGTAAGTAAGTCAACCTAAGTCTGAAACTACCTGAAGCACACAACAACAACAATCTTATCTCATCAGCCAAAAGCAGGGCCACACTTCCCATTGAAATATTAATAAGTTTATATTTGTAAAAATTATTATTCATTTTAATTATTGTATTGTTTTTAAGTGTTTTTGCACTACAAATAAGATATGTGCAGTGTGCAGAGGAATTAATCCATGTTTTTTTCAAATTATAATCCAGCCCTCCAACAGTTTGAGGGACTGTGACCTGGCCCTCTGTTTAAAAAAGTTTGACGACCCCTGGTCTAGATGAACCTTGATGATATATTACTATGATCTTGGTTCCTAATTGGTTCTATCATAGAAAGGTGGGGAAAGTTAATTAAACTGCAAAAACGATGTCTTTGTGGGAGGGACATCATGCTATAGCACATTTTGCTTTGGTGAGTCTCCACCTGTTTAATCTCAGAACTACTAGATCCTGGTATCCCTGTCAGGGAATAGGTTATATAGATAAAAATATTTTGACGTATGTCATGATATCTCTATGAAAAATACCTAATGACTAGAAGTCACTCAGAAGTATGTCCCCTTGAAACTAAAGGTGAGTAAGTATATATTGAATTGCAGCTTCACTGTTGTAGTATATTTTCATTTCATAAACAAAAGTGGTAAGATCAAAATCTATGTAAAAACAATAACAACAACAAAACAAACAATTGAGCCTAGCTAGCATGAGCAATTGCTTTGCAAAGGCAGGGAGGAAGTATTTCCCCAAAGTTTCCCCATTAATGTCAAAATCATTATGCTAAAACTTGGAAAACAAGTTATTGAAGAAAAACCAAATATGACTCATAGAAAAGACTACAATTCTGGTAAGTACAATTTTAAGTTTTAAAACTTATTATTGCAAAAATGGAGGAAGCAGAAGGGCAGTCTAGACAATTTCCATATTTCATATATGACAGCAAACCAATTTTCACTTATGATTGAAAATGTCAATAAGTGGATCACATCATGGAAAGGGGAGAAGGAGAAAAATTGAAATCGAATAGGTTGATCGCATCATGGGGAGGGAAGGAGGAAAAAAATTGAAAACTAATATTAACTAATATTAGTAAAATAAATTAATGTTAGATAAGCATTAAAAAGAACAATGAAACAAAAACATAGGGGGCAGTGAACTAAAATTAAGAAGTTTGAAAGCTTAGTAGAGCAATGATTTAACTGTCTCAATCTTGTACAAGAGAGTGCCCTATGCATTACCTAGTAGGCCTGGGTAACAACGGAAAAATTTGTTTCTAAAATCGATTTGTATTTGGGGGTTTTTTTGTTTCGATATTTAAAATAATTACAAAATTTTCCTTTTAAAAAGTTCGATATTTACGAAATTTCGTGAATGGTAAAAAATTAACGAATCGATTTCCGAAACAATAATGAATCGATTCGTTAATGGCGGACGCGACCGCGAAATACGCTAAAAAACCTCCAAAACCTTCTGAAGCTTCCCTCTCCCTCTGTTGTTGACTGTTGGTGTGATATTATAATTTTTTTTCACTAATTAAACCATAAAACTGGCCCAGACATGTGGAAATAATAACGAAACGACCTCAAAACAATAACGAAACGAATACAATATCGAAATACGAAGCATTTACAAAACGTTTTTGAAAATTCGTTTTTTTAAATAATTGCTCCAGAATGGTTCGTTATCGTTTTGTAATTGAAAAAAATAACGAATTATTAACGAATTACGAATTAATGAAACGAAACCGCCCAGCCCTATTACCTAGAGCAGTGGTGGTGAACCTATGGCACACCCACATGCCCACTTGCTTGCCTGCCCGCTTGCCCCCCTCCCCACTCACTTGCTCACCTTTCAGCTGGTTTTGGATTGTGGTTTGGGCACTTGGTTTCTAAAAGGTTCACCACCACTGATCTAGAGTAAGGATTTTACAACAGTGTTTGCACTACAGAACTCATATAACTAGATGCGGCTCAATGTGTACGCTTTAGCAATAGAGGCAAACATTTGTAGCCATATAGGTAGTAATACCTACTTAACTATTGCATCCTTTAGCACTCACTTGAAAAAGAAGGCCTTTCATCTGGATTTTGTGCCCAGCCAGATTCGATTAATGACAACATCAGCCCTCGATGAGGAATGTCAAATGGCAGATATTCTTCACTGGTGTCTGGACGCCTTCCTTGTGACACACTAAACATAATCTGCAAGGGGTTTATAACATCTGTCAAAATAGATATTATGCACTTATTAGAAATCCAGAAGATTTCTTATCCAGTAGAGAAAATACAAGTGAATACTGAAAAAAATCTTGTTATTTTAGTTTATACCACAGGCAGTTCCCAAGATACGAACAAGATAGATTCTGTAGGTTTGTTCTTAAGTTGAATTTGTATGCAAGTTAGAACAAGTACATTTTTAAGTGTAACTCCAATCACACACACACAAACACACACAAACATACACATGCTTTGGATAGTGCAGGGAAGGGCTAACACCCCTGTGGTGCTTATCATGTTGTCTGAGCCACTGTTGAGAAAATTTCACTTCACTTTCTGTCCCTGTGATAACTAGATTTTAAAAAAAATGGCTTGTTGTGAACACATAGATTGGTGATAAAGCTTCAATGGCGACACCTTTTCCCCATGAGAACTCCTTCAGGAATAAATTTCCTTTCTGAGTGGAAGATTTCTCTCACTTGCTGTTGACTTACACCCTGTTCTTAATTATGAGTTGTTTGTAAGTTGGATGTTTGTAACTTGGGAGACTGCCTGTATATCACCACCAAAGCTCTTATTGAAAAAGTACATGATTTTTCCCCTACCTCCCAAGCTTTCTGGAAAAGAACAAATGGCATATATATATATATATATATATATATATATATATATATATAAAAGGTCATATGATAAATGAAAATAAAGAAAAGAATCTGACCTTCAAATGGCTGTTTTCTTGACATTACTTCCCACATGATAATGGCATAACTGTTCAAGGTAAAAACAAAAACAAAACAAAACATACATATTAAATAAGCTAGTTCCATATTATTTGCCAAAACAAAAATAACCATCCTTAAATTACAATTTTTAAATGAATTCTGTCTCATTTATTTAGAAAGGAGAATAATGTCTAATATTCAATGACAGCTCAAAAACTGGTTGGCTCAATGGGGCAATCCTATATCCATCTGAATCATCTTATCCAGTGTGATATTGAAATTGGATCCATCAGCACCAGGCATGGGCAAACTTCGGTCCTCCTGGTGTTTTGGACTTCAACTCCCACAATTCCTAACAGCTGGTAGGCTGTTAGGAATTGTGAAAGTCGAAGTCCAAAACACCTGGAGGGCCAAAGTTTGCCCATGCGTGATCTACACTGTACAATGTAAAATTAATGCAGTTTGACATCACTTTAATTACCATGGCTCTGTGCTAAGAAATCATAAGCTTTGTAGATTTGTGAGGCAGAATACTCTTCAGAAAGAAGGCTAAAAACTGCAGATTTCATGATTCCAAAGAACTGAGTCTTGGCATGTCAAACTGCATTAATTCTATATTGTAGATGCAGCCCCTGAAAACATATAGACATATATATAGACATATAGACATGTATATCACTGTGCAAAATTAGTCCTTCTGTTGAAACAGGTTTTTTTCCATGACTTCTGGTGTGAGAGAATTGGCTGTCTGCAAGCACGTTGCCCAGGAGACGCCTGGATGTTTTGATGTTTTACCATTCTTGTGGGAGGCTTCCGTCATATCCCTGTATGGGAAGCTGGAGCTTATCCATGCTCTCCCTCAATTTGAACCTCCAACCTGTCAGTCATTCGTTCTTCTGGCACAAGAGTTTAACCCATTGCGCCCATTGCGCCACTGGGGCAGTGATGTTGGATTTAAACTTCAGGCAGGAGACTAAAATAATTCCAGATTTGAGACTTTGATATGGTAAACCCCTCAAATTCCACTGTGTTGAAAACATTGTCCTTTACATTTTGAATGTGTGTAAGTTCTGAAATAAAATATAAATACCTGTATATATCATGTTTTACACTGGCACGTCTGCAATGATAATCTTCAGGTGGCATGTAGATGATAGTCCCTCCCTCAGGCATTGACTTCTCACTTCGTGACAATGACATGGAGACCTTGCGCCATTGAGACAAACCAAAATCTGCAATCTGAAAAAAGATGGGAGAGGTAAACAAATGCAAATAAGACTAAACAAGAATGATTATATTCACTGAATTTGAGCCAAGGTTTTATTCTCATGAACAAAAGAAAGTATGTTTATACAGAATGTGTCTTTCTACTAGGTCATTTCAAAACACAACAGGAATAAAAACGCAGGGAGAGATGAACAAACTATGGCTGGATCTGCACTGTTATAGAATCTAGTTTTAGAATGTGTATTAGCTGCATTGAACTGGATTATATCCATCTACACTGCCCTATAATCCACAAATAAACCAACAGTTGGTTTGCTCCTAAACCTTCCCAATTTCAGCAGGCCGACTTAGGGACAAACATTCTTCCCTGCTGCAATTCTTCAAGAGAGTAATAATCCATTTTCTGTAAATCAGCCAGGTATCTACCATGAAAATCCAACCTACCATCTACCAATTTCTGTTTCAGAGATAGACACATAGTGTATCCTTCTTTGGTACATTGGAACGAACAAAGAAGGGTACAGTTCAAAGCAAATCTTTATTATGCTTTCTTAAAGCATGAGACAGGCTAATAGAGTAAACTAAGTCCTATGTATACAATGAACTATATCCTGTTTAGTCCTAACTAGAATGGATTTGTTCAATCGATGGGATTAAACTATGTGTTGACCCATCATTCAACAGTTGAGTGAATAAGTCTACATTGGGACTAGCCAATAGGATGTCAACCTACATTTATTTATTTACCACATTTATATCCCATCCTTCTTACCCTGAAGGAGACTCACTGGATGTATGCAGACACCGAATGTATGTACTAAAGTAAAGTACACACATCCGGTATCTTTTAAGCACATATGTAAAGCAAAACTGTTCTTCTGATTCAGCTCACCTACAAGAACAAGTTCTTACTCTCAATCATTTCCTCATACCTCCTACAACTCCAATCCAGACTGTACCTTAGTTGCTATCTGGAGCCAATCTGCTTATGTACAACTAGTTCAAGCATGAATTTCATGCTTAGACTTAGGCCCCATTTCCAAGATATCTCATTATTTACACACATATATACAAATACAGATATTCCAAAATTGAAGAAATCCGAAATACTTCTGGTCCCAAGCATTTTGGAAAACAAATACTCAACCTGTTCTGATTTATTACATTATTCACCATTATAAAAATACGTTCCTCTCCTATCTTAGTAGCTTCAGACTGCTGAGGCTACTACTTATTAATAACCTACTTATTATTTACTGAGAATGTTCTAAAAACTCTGTGTAACTACTTATACAGAGAAAGAATAGATCTGTTCAGTCAATGGGATTTAACTCTATTGACACATCATTCAACAGTTGAGTGAATAAGTCTATTCTACATGGGGACTAGCCAACAGGATGTAAACCTTTGTGTACTAAGCAAAAATTATTTTCTGCACACTACTCAGATTTAAATACCAAACTAAGCTGCATCCAAATTCTAAATTTAAGAGGACAAACCAGTAGCACAATTTAAAACTGGTGCATTTCCCACAAAGACTTTGTAGCACTGTATATCAGTACTTGATATATAGCCAAATTAAATGACCCTTACATTTAAAAATGGATTGTGGACAAGCTTTTCATTTCTTGAAGCTCTTCTTTTTTTACTTAGAAAACCAAAATGGGTTCTTACTCCTCAGTGGTGGAAATGGCCTCAGCAGAATGTAGCCAAGGACTGATGAAATCTCAGATGGCTATCACAGGTCAGACTTAGCAGTGCAATGAAAGATGTGGCTTCATTTCCTTTTTGGGTTTTGCCCCTTTGTACAGTATTTGTGGCTTTGAGCAGTTTCATTTCTCTCAGATGGAAAACCTTTTCTTATGCAAAACCATACCCTCAAGGTACGCACACTCCTAAAATTGTAGAAAAGCGCAGAATAGAAAGCCGGTCATACCTTAACATGAAAGTCACTGTCAAGTAAAATATTTTGGGTCTTCAAATCATGGTGTAAGAGTGGAGGTGTCATATTGTGAAGGTAATTCACTCCCAAGGCAATTTCATAAAGTATGCGAAACCTTAGTGACCAAGCAATGTCAGGATACACATTTTTCTATATAGATATAAAAGGAAGATTAAACAAAAACATAGACAATTATTTCATTTGAATTTAGAACAAAGGCAATGCAAGGCCATTCTAACCCCAATGTATCACCCTATATTCTTCTCTCCCTATAAAAACTTGCCCAAAATTCAACATGCTTGGAAGAGGATTTTTTCTCAGTTCCACCAGTCATAGGTACACATAAAAACATAAAAGGTCCTTCTAGGTAGCTGCTCTACATTTATCATAATTCCATATATTTTATAATGGTTTTAGATTAGTATTTTTGGATAAGATTGCATATTTCAGTTGTATTTTAACATATGCTTTTCATCTCATATCGGATGAAAAGCAAGACATTAAGTCAGTATACCTAACAACTGATGAAGTCTTGTTGAAACAACGAAGTTTTGCATCTACCATAGACCCTTGTTGTTCACTGAATTTGGGTCCAACCCCCGCCGATGGCAAAATCGATGGATTTCAAGTACCAAGATATGATAAGAGGCAGTAAGGTGGCCCTTTATGTAATACGGTGAAATCAAGATTTGCTTTTTGTATTTATTTTTAAAAGAAATTCCAGCCATGGATGGTTGAATCAGTGGATGAAGCCCAACTGAATTCTGTAAAGCAACCAGATATTCAACAGCTATTTGCAGTAAGGATAGAGAACATGTATGATATAATCTTCATGGTCAATGACAAGGGATTGTGGGATCTATGGTTCAAAACATCTAAATGGCTAAAGGTATTCTTCCCCACATATGTGGTCAACAACAAATTATACACTCCATCAATGTAAGTTGACCCTTCCTTAATCACCTGTTTTCAGCATTTGGTCCTTTTAAACTAATTGGCTGGTAAAAAGGCATGACCAGGAGGTGTAGCCTACTGCAGGGTGTCTTATCTTAACAACCAGTAAGAGCAGTGGTTCTCGCCCTGTGGGTCCCCAGGTGTTTTGGTCTACAACTCCCAGAAATCCCAGCCAGTTTAACAGCTGTTAGGATTTCTGGGAGTTGAAGGCCAAAACATCTGGGACCCACAGGTTGAGAACCACTGAGTAAGAGGAACTTCCTCCTAAGCTTCCTAAATGACAAGGGGCTTAAGAATTATGCTGTTTACATGGCTCATACTTACCGCATGCAAAAGTTGATTTAGTGACCCATTTGGCATATATTCCATGATAATGCCCAGAAATTCAGGCTCATTGCAAATTCCCAAAATTGGTAGAACGTAACTGAACCTTGCCTGATGTAAAATTTCAGCTTCCTTTAAGAGATTGGCCCTTTCGCTATGAGGGAAAAAAAGACAAAACAGTTTTGCAATTACATTAAGAATCTAAAGATATGCAATTTGACATTATTTTCCTTTTATAAGAAAGACAAATTCTCATAGGAAAATTAAAGGTCATTTCGAGGCAGTACCTTGTAAAGACTACACTGTGTGGGACAACAGCAGTGGAAATAACTACTGATGCTTTGATGTTTATTTATAACAATGTATTCATTTTCTTTCTGTACAAAAGCATGCTCAGGGACATAGGATGGGATGGGATGGGATGATGGTGAAGCAGAATGCCTTGTTGCCACTGCTATCCTGAGTCATCTGCATGCCTCAAGCAACCCTAAACACGTCTTTCTAGAGTGGACTAATTCTTCAATGCTTGTTTCTTAGGAGTTCTTATGGTCTATCCAGACAGGGCTTTAAACATGGGAGTTCCTATTTCAAAAAGGGGAGGAGGTAGCTAGACAACGTCAGCGCTAAATGCACACTGATTCAGATAACCTGAGGGAAACCGCAGGATAAAAAGGTCCCCCTTTACCCCCTTTCTGCCTGAAAGATGCACATCCTTCTATGTCTGTGTGACCCTGCATGCCAAAAATATGTGTTTTCCTCCTCCCCAACCCATGGAGACTGCTTGAGCTGATTTCCACCCTTTTTAAAAAGCCCAAAACAGCTGATCAGCTGATTGAGCTGTCAAATAGATGCATAGCGGATTGAAAGGAAGAATGAATGGAGAGCCAGTAGAACTCTCTGAAACTCTTTATTTAACACTGTAAAGACTGTGAGCAGAGCTTTAATAAATAATCAGAGGAAGGGAGAAATCTGGTGGAAGTTTTTTTAAAAAAATTCCTCCATTATGCGCTGATCCATATATTGCACATGCGAATACACTTGCATTTATTATATTTGCATGTGCACATAAACAAATCAGCACATCTATCTATCTATCTATCTATCTATCTATCTATCTATCTATCTATCTATCTCCTGGCAGATGTCCCCTGTCCACCCTCCATTTTATCCTGAGACACAGAATGGCTGTGAGGATGGCAGGGAAAGAAAGCCCAGGACTGGCAGGTCTATGTGGGGACTTGCTCTGAGGTCCCTCTTTTTTGCCCCTTTTTAATCCCACATTTTGGCACTGTTTGGAAGCACCCTAGGAGTAAAGGAATGGGTTGCCTGAAAACCTACATATTAAAAAGCCACAAGCAAGTTCGCTTCAGCCCAAGGGTCGAAAGAGCTAAGCAGTGAAGAACCATAGAGCTGAAAAAGGCTATCATGGCCATCCAATCCAACCTGACCATGCCATGCAGAAATATATGAAGTACTCCTGACAGATTGCCATCCAGTCTGTTTAAATACCTTTAAAGGAGGTTGCACCATTTATGAGGAAGAAATTTATTTTCACCATGAAGTTGTTATAGGGTCTTCAGAGTGAAGCTACGTTTCTCCCTCACAAGCAAGGGAAATTCCCTTCAGAGGAGAATAAGATGACAGAGGCAACCAAAGAAAGTAATAATGATAAAAGGAGAAGCAGGATTCATGTGGCTCAGTGTGGACTAGAACGTGTGTCTCCAAACTACTAAGCCAAAGTTAATTCTACATGGAGGGAAAAAGCATCACTTCAGGGGTGAGCTGCATTGGCTGCCACCAATTCCCTTGCCTAGGCATTCAAAAGGCCCAAAGCAGCACTATGGCACAGAGAGTAGAGTGAGAAGTTCTCCAGAACAGACTAAGCTCTTGCCTTTTGCCAATCTTTTCAGAGGTAACACCTTTTTAATAAGGGTGAAGACATAGTATACTGACCTGTGGATAGGTTGACCCAGGTTTTTGGAGTCAGTTTTTTTAGACTAAAATTTCTAGACATACGCATGAATATATGCAGTAGAGGTTTGACCAGATCAGGTGCTCAAAGAAGTGACTAGAGTTCCCCTAGTGACTAGAGTTCCCCTTTTCAAAAAGCAGATGCACGAGTCATTCACGTTGCCCCTGTCACTGCCACTTCTTCAAAATGCCTAAACTATTCTCGGAATTGAAGTCCAGTGTTTGCCATTCAATTAACAGTCCTTCTCCATAACCCTGAGGATTGTCAAGCCTCTTTTAAACTTGCCAGGACTCTGAATCATGTGATGTAGGACCATTGTTTGTTTTTCTCTGTTACACTTTTTTGCCACCACAATGACACTGGTTTTACTTATTTAGTTATTAAAATATTTACATCCTAATCTTCAGCTCAAGATTTCAGGGAGACTCAGAATAAAATCCATTTAAAATCATCAATAATTACCAAAGTTTTAAAAGATTAAATTGTATCAATTAGTTTCTCAACTAAAAGAGACTATATAAAACTGGTTAAAGTAATCTTTAATTGTATGTTTCTGTATGGCAGGGAGTTGGACTGGATGGCCCTTGTGGTCTCTTCCCACTCTATGAATAATATAACCACAAAACATGCATAGATTTGAAGGAACTGTAGTGACTGTAAATAAAGTTATGGCCTGAATTCAATGGGCTTTTGATCATATTTGGAGCCAGTGTGGTCTACTGGTTTTAGTTACAAGATTATGACTTGGGTGACCAAAGTGGAAATCTTTGCTCAGCCACAGAAACCCACTGGGTGATCTTGGACAAGTCACACTCTCTTAGCCTAAGAGGAAGGCAATAATACATACAGATCTCCGAAGGAAGGTGGCCAAGAAACTCCTGTGATAAGATCACCATAAGTCAGAAATAACTTGAAGACACACAACAGCAACACAAAATGAAGATTTGCTTTGAATGCAATTTTTCTGCTTCTTGGCAGGGGGTTGGACTGGATGGCCCACAGGGTCTTTTCCGATTCTATGATTTGTAAGTTCTAAATGGCTTGAGAACTCATTGTTTGGAAAAACACCTCTGCCCAAGGATTACGATCTGTAGGAGGGGTCTGGAAGGAAGACATCATGAAAGAATGGGAAAAATGACCTTCTTCAGTGTGGCATCATACACGATGAATGCTCTTCCCTTGGAAGCAAGGGCCACTGGGATTTGCTTCATTCCTATATAAATTTAAAACACGCATTTCTATTGAAGTCCAAATGTGTGTGTAACAGTTTTATTCAAGTTATATATGTGCTAGGTTATCAACCACTTTTATACTAAAATCATTCATAAATGCAAAAAAAAAAAAAACCCAAAACATTATGCTCCCAACATTGTTCACTTTCTTTCCTCTCTAAGTCAGCTCGTAAGATCCTGCAGTTTTTTCTATAGCACCTGCAAAGTTTACAATCTTTCCCTCTGCTGCTTAGCAACTCTTAGCAATTACCTCTCTGTAGATTTTGGCACTATTCCATTCCAAGAAACAAAATAGCTTTGATGGCAAACTGCCACAATTGTGTTGTGACACTGAACAATCAACATGACATCACCACTGTGATTTATCCACACAGAATGGATTCAGATTGAATAGACTTCAACTAGGTCACCTTTTTCACTGGGTACACCACATATTAACCAAAGTAACACACAAGTCCAGCTCTTGTACTCAATTACATTACTGTAGATCCAGATACGTAATCAAAACTTTGTTATAAGTATTGTATTGACTTAAAATATAACCTGAACCATCTACATAACAGAACCATGCAACTTTGGAAATAGCATCATACTATTCTTGAAACCATTTAGGTTTTTTTCCCACTGAGAGATTATAGAACTATGATACCGTATTAGCTGTCAATCATCTAATTCCAGTCACCTCTGTTATACATGGTGCCACCTCAAAGTAGAACCATGCATAGCACATTTAGTGGATTACAAGTAATTATCCATACATCAAGCTTGAAGACTTTCTGATCATCCAGAAATTTTGGCTCATAGAGCAATGACAACTCTTTAGGCACAATTTTCCAACCAATTATGATCTGATAGAATTATAGAATCACATAATCATTGACTTGGAAGAGACCTTATGGGCCATCCAGTCCAATTCCCCTGCCAAGAAACAGGAAAATCGGAATCAAAGCACCCCTGACAGATGTCTATCCAGCCTCTGTTTAAAAGCCTCCAAAGAAAGCAGTGTTTAGATATTTGGCCAGTTTGCTAATTAAAATATCATGGGAGACCTGATCAAATGCTTTGCTGAAATCTACATAAATGGAATTTGCAGCATTACCCTCTGCTAAACAACTGCACTGATAAAAAAGACAAGGTTCCGGCCCAGTGTATTTGTCCAAACYGATCTCCCTCTACATCCCATCTCGAAGTTTAAGATCCTCTGGGGAGGCCCTGCTCTCGACCCCGCCACTGTCACAAGTGAGGCTGGCGGGGACGAGGAGCAGGGCCTTCTCAGTGGTGGRCCCCCACCTGTGGAACTCKCTCCCCGGGMAGATTAGATRGGCAACTTCCCTTCTGGCGTTTAGGAAAAAACTGAAGACCTMGGTGTGYGACCAAGCCTTTGGTCATTCTGATGACTAAACTAAGGATCTGACGATAGACAAGGACAAATGGAATGGAATGAAATATGGACTCTGAACCCTGAGCATGAGATTGTTTCAGCGTGAGATTGTTTATTATTTTATTATGTATTGATGTTTTAATTAATTGTTGAATTGTTTTGTATTTTGTATTACTTGTAAATTGATTTGGGCATCTAATTGTGCCCCCACTGTAAGCCGCCCTGAGTCCCCCCCCCCCGGGGTGAGAAGGGCGGGGTATAAGTAAGTGAAATAAATAAATAAATAAATAAAGGTTAGTTTGGCAGAATTTGGTAAATCCATGTTGAGTCCAATAATCGTGGCACTGGCATCAAGACACTTATTTGAAAGAAACTTTCAAGTGGTTCCCAAAAAAATCCCATTTTTCCTTCCTTATGCAAAGCTAACATCCCTTGGTTATTTTATTGAATTGTTACTTCTGGATAAAATAGTCTGCACAAGCATGTTCAAATGTTCTTCTTTATTGTCACACAAGAACTTATCCCTATTTGCAGATGACACCAAATTGGGAGGTATAGCTAATACCCCA